CGTCTGTCATGACGTGGGTTAAGTTAAGATATAGCCTAGTATTGTGTGTGTCGTTGTATTGTGATTGATATATTTCGTGTATGCGATAAAATTCACCACTGGTAGCCCCAGTCGGTATCTTTTTTCTTTTTTTAAAAAAGTCGGTCAATCTTTATGATTTTGGTGCCATTTTGTAGATCTCAATAAGTGCAACAAAATGTGCAATAATCTCAATAAGTGCAACACCAAAATCATAAAGATTGGCTTAATTAGAAGAAAGCTATGGTGAGTTAGGCAAAAGAGCCGCTAGCACAAAAAACTTGGGTTTTGCGTTTGCGCAACTAGGTCCATAACTTTCTTCTAAATGGGCCAATCTTTATGACTTTGGTGTCATTTCGTTGCACTTATTGAGATCTACAAAATGAAACTAGAATCAAAAAGATTGGCTTACTTAGAAGAAAGTTATGGCGAGTTGCGCAAAAAAAAATTGCGGAAATTAGCTTACCCTAAAATTTCTTTTAAAGACCGAAAATTACACAATTGTTTTCAAAAATCCTCTCACTTTATGCGTTTTTTTGAAACTTAAACTCTAAAATCTCTTCCTTTCGCTTGATCTCAATAGCTTTTCGCCAATTTTTCACTTAAAACTTTTCCTTTCTCTAATTTCAATCATTTTTCACTTTTCAAATCGTTTTTTTCTGATCGTTTGTCGATTTTTTTCTCTTAAAATTTCTCTCGAACGATTAAGTAAAGATTTTCGAGGTAAAAGATGAAAAAAAGTGGCTCTCTTCGAACAAAAAAGCGATCATTTATAGCAAATTTGTTCTAGTATTGATGAGAAATTGATTTATTCTTTAATCTTATTGTTAAAAGATTTCAAAGTCTAAGATAATCTTCAGTATAGTTTGATAATCTTCAGCTGCTTAATCCCAGTATCTTTGTGGAATCAAGAATGGTGTGTTATTCGTATGAATCGAGTCGAATAATTTGAAACGAAGCTTTCTTTGAGTGCTTGTTGCTTGCTTCTTCTTCTTCTTCTTCTTCTCCTTTTTCTTCTTCTTCTTCTTCTACTTCGTTTCTTGAATCAATCAGCTCACAAAAATTTCATGATTTCTTATTTTTTTCAAGTAAAATCGATCAAGAATTTGATTTTCTTTGTTTGGAAAATATTCACAAGAATAATGTGGTAGAAACAATGCAAAAGGACAATCTACAAGTCCTAAATCTAGGGATGAAAGAAACCCATCTATACGGAAAAAAAATAGAACGAATGATCTAGTGGACGAGATTGAAATCTTGACGTTCCGACTAAGATACAGAGCTCTTAGCCAATCGGCCATGGTGTCGGCCAGACCTCTTCTTATTGTTTTAAAAGCCTGTAAAGACACTAAAAGGTGGATTCAATTTTTTGGTTTCGGCATTTTGCAGTAAATTTTGTGAACAAATAATGATAGAGTCGATTTCGAATTTTCGAATTATCGAATTTTCAGTAAAATCGCTTGTTTCAAACTTTCGTATTATCGAATTTTCCGTGAAAGCAATCCGCTTGTTTCTTTCATCCCTGAAAGAAAGAAAGAATGGTCATGGTAGCCCGATTGGCCATGGTAGCCCGATTGGCCATGGTAGCCCGATTGGCCATGGTAGCCCGATTTGGCCATGGTAGCCCGATTTGGCCATGGTGGCCCGATTTGGCCATGGTGGCCCGATTGGCTAAGAGCTCAAAATCTTAGTCGAAACGTCAAGAGTTCAAGCTCGTCCACTAGATCATTCGTTCCATAGATGGGAGTTCTATAGATTTCCATATAGATGAGTTTCTTTCATCCCTAGATTTAGGACTAGACTGTATTGTTTCTACCACATTATTCTTTGGAATAAGCAAAAGCAAAAGCAACAATTTCAAAGCAATCCTTCAATCACTAGGCTATACAATTTGTGTTAAATTAATTTAAAAAGAACTACTATCAATACTAATGGGTTGATGCATAAGTCTTTTCGTTTTTTTCGTACTTCTGTTAAAAAGTAACAAATTCACCAATTAATCTATAGTTTGCTCTATAAAAAAAAGTGTTTTTTTGTTCAATTTGCATCTTTTTAAATGAATTTCGGTTCACTTTGAAGCAAATTCGAGAGTGAAAAACGCCTTTTTCGTAAAAATCTATAAAAAACTCTACGGAAAAATTGGCTGAATGAATTTCTCTGAAATTTTGGCGAAATATCAAACGTTTTTTTTCTCTATCTTTTATCTATTGACACGAAGATAGGTTTTCTTTAGCTAAGGTGTCTAAACCGCATCATCGAGTTAGCCCTTTTTGACTACCCGACTTCATATTCTCAAGAAAATCCAGGCATTAAATATTTTTAAACCCGTTTTAATGTTATTTTGCAGAAAAATAATTGCTTTTTCTAATGAAATCAACCGTAGTTTAATTCGTGCATTTGTTGGCTTGAAACGGCAGACGAAAAGGAACAAAAACACTTCTGCATCAGCCTAATAAATATATTTCGTAAAAGATTTCCTCTAAAATTCTATCACCAAACTACACTGTCACCTTCCCCTCACCAATCCTTCTTTTTGAAACTTCTCTATTTATTTTTAAAACGCTTAATCGCAATTTGATTTCTCGAAAATATTTCTTTTCCTTTCAAACAAAACAAAAATGAGAACTTTTTGAGTACATTTTCTTTATTTTCATTCCTCATCTTCATTTTGAAATCATTTAAAATCTCTAACTTTAAAGAAAGCTTTAAGGAAAGCTTTAAAGTAAACTTTACAGTAAACTTTATTGCTCAAATTTCACGCTCTTTTTTTTCTTATTTTCCCTATTTTTTCGAGTCATACGATTCAATTTTCTCAAATTTTACAGAAATATTTTGTTTTTTAAAAGATTTTCCCCACATTCCACCTGATACAAAAGACTTCCAATTCAAAAAATCTTTAAAGCTGACTCTAGAGCTCTAAAGCTGACTCTAGAGCTTTATAGCTGACTCTAGAGCTCTAAAGCTGACTCTAGAGCTTTATAGCTGACTCTAGAGCTCTAAAGCTGACTCTAGAGCTTTATAGCTGACTCTAGAGCTTTATAGCTGACTCTAGAGCTTTATAGGTGACTCTAGAGCTCTAAAGCTGACTCTAGAGCTTTATAGCTGACTCTAGAGCTTTATAGCTGACTCTAGAGCTTTATAGGTGACTCTAGAGCTCTAAAGCTGACTCTAGAGCTTTATAGCTGACTCTAGAGCTTTATGCTGACCAGAGCTTTATAGGTGACTCTAGGCTCTAAAGCTGACTCTAGGCTTTATAGCTGACTCTAGAGCTCTAAAGCTGACTCTAGAGCTTTATAGCTGACTCTAGAGCTCTAAAGCTAACTCTAAAGCTCTAAAACTAACTCTAAAGCTTTAAAGCTATCTTTTCATATTTGCAAATGATGCTGAATAACTCTTGAAACTCAAATTTTCATAGAAAAACAAAGAAATGAATTTGAAAGCTTTTGTACGTTTGTAGAAGTTCAATTTTCAAGTACAAATTTTTTACAAATTTTCGAAAATTGTTTATTCATAGAGAAATTTTGAATACGAAAGTTAGAGTTGAAGAAAGTCGACTAAAACCATTTTAACAAACTCCCTAACCATTTAAAATCTCTAACTTTAAAGAGAGCTTTAAAGAGAGCTTTAAAGTAAAATTTATTGCTCAAATTCTCCCATTTCACGCTCTTTTTTTTCTTATTTTCCCCTATTTTCTCATAAGTCATATGATTCAATTTTCTCATACTTTAGCGAAATATTTTGTTTTTTTAAAAGATTTTCCCCACATTCATTTGCAAATTTCCCCGTAAAAACGTCGTGTTTTTGGGTACAAAATGTCAGAAAGCATGAAGAAAAAGGAAAAATTCATCGAGTTTCAAATTTGAACCTCACAAAATCAGTTGGATTAGCTGAAAGAAAGGAGAAATTTTTGAGAAATTGTACTTGAAAATTGAACTTCTACAAACGTACAAAAGCTTTCAAATTCATTTCTTTGTTTTTCTATGAAAATTTGAGTTTCAAGAGTTATTCAGCATCATTTGCAAATATGAAAAGATAGCTATAAAGCTCTAGAGTCAGCTTTAGAGCTCTAGAGTCAGCTATAAAGCTCTAGAGTCAGCTATAAAGCTCTAGAGTCAGCTATAAAGCTCTAAGTCAGCTATAAAGCTCTAGAGTCAGCTATAAAGCTCTAGAGTCAGCTATAAGCTTAGGAGCTTTAGGCCTGGTCAGCTATAAAGCTCTAGAGTCACTATAAGCTCTAGGTCGCTATAAAGCTCTAAAGTCAGCTATAAAGCTCTAGAGTCAGCTATAAAGCTCTAGAGTCAGCTATAAAGCTTTAGAGTTAGCTTTAGAGCTCTAGAGTCACCTATAAAGCTCTAGAGTCAGCTTTAAAGCTCTTGAGTCAGCTATAAAGCTCTAGAGTCAGCTTTAGAGCTCTAGAGTCAGCTTTAAAGCTCTTGAGTCAGCTTTAAAGCTCTAGAGTCAGCTATAAAGCTCTAGAGTCAGCTATAAAGCTCTAGAGTCAGCTATAAAGCTCTAGAGTCAGCTATAAAGCTCTAAAGTCAGCTATGAAGCTCTAGAGTCAGCTTTAAAGATTTTTTGAACTGGAAGTCTTTTGAATCAGGTGGAATATGGGGAAAATCTTTTAAAAGACAAAATATTTCTGTAAATTTTGAGAAAATTGAATCGTATGACTCGAAAAAATAGGGAAAATAAGAAAAAAAAGAGCGTGAAATTTGAGCAATAAAGTTTACTTTAAAGCTTTCTTTAAAGTTAGAGATTTTAAATGATTTGGGAGTTTGCTAAAATGGTTTTATTCGACTTTCTTCAACTCTAACTTTCGTATTCAAAATTTCTCTATGAATAAACAATTTTCAAAGATATAAAAATATAAATCTAATATAATATAAATTCAAAACTCTATTTCAATGTTTTTCATTTATCCTATCATTTCTATCATTTCTATCATTTCTATCATCATATTTTCAGTTTCAACTTTTTCTTGGATGAGCTCGGATCGGCGTCGAGTTTTCCCCGGCGATTTCGGACCGCCGCCCGTTTACAAAGAAAAGCAAAGGAGTGAGCCGAGTCATGAGGTTTCTTTTAGAAATAAGCACAAAGCACAAAATAAATATAAATAATAAGTAAAGAACATAAATAATTGAATCTAGAAAAGAAATATTGGTTTTTTTTCGTTGGGTCCCAAAATTTCCCAGTAATATCCAAAAAATTGAAACATTACTTTTCAAATTAAAGCTTTCCAAAAATCGGTTTTTTCCTAGCAAGTTGATTTGACGTCAAAAAACGAACGTCAACTTTTTCAAACAAATACTACTTTTCAGAGGTGCTCACTTATTAATTTAAAGATTATAGTGATTGAAAAAAAAAACGAAAAAACGAAGTTAATAAGTGAAAAAGTTGCTAGTCGACTTTTTCATCGACTTTAAAAATTTGAACTTAAAACTTAATGGAAAATAAAGGAAATTTTTTCAGAAAACTAATTTGTAACCTTGTAACTTTGAAACTTTCAACTTTTTACTTCACTTAGACTTTTCAGAAAGGCAATGTATGGTCATGGCCCCCGGGTGAGCCGTCGCCCGCCTTCACTCCACTTCCCCCATATCCAGCTGGTTTGTTTGGGTTACCTATACCGAATTTTTGAGTTGAGCTAAGGTGTAGAGCCAGCCTTAGAGCCATTTAATTGAACTTTCCATTTTTATCATAGTTAGGCGGAAACGCTACAAGAACTATCGTTAAAGTTGAAACTTGGCAGTTGGTAGTTAACTTGAAACTCGGCAGTTGGTAGTTAACTTGAAACTTGGCACTTGGTAGTTAACTTGAAACTCGGCAGTTGGTAGTTAACTTGAAACTTGGCACTTGGTAGTAAACTTGAAACTTGGCACTTGGTAGTTAACTTGAAACTCGGCAGTTAGTAGTTAACTTGAAAATCGGTAAATCATTTCGCTACGTTATTTACTTTGAAACACTTACAAAAGTCTGTTTTTAAAGCAAATAAATTTGACTTAAAATTGTTCATTAAAGCTATAAAGATTAGATTAAGTTTCAAGCTAGATAACTATTTTCAATTTTTTTTTAAACAAAAGGATTGGGATTGGGAACAAAACAAAACAAATGGGAAAGAATTTAGAATCGAGAGGGAATTGAATCCTTGCTTATTGGGTAGCTGTTCTACCACTGAGTTATCAGCTCTTTCTTTTCCCAAGAAGAAATAGGAAAGACAAGGAAGAAAGAGAGGGAAATACTTGAGTTTTCAAAAGAGCTTTCGCTCTACTTAAAAATCAGATCATAAGCAGATCATAGATAGTAATAAAGTAAAGAAATCAAGGGGAAAGAATTTAGAATCGAGAATTGAAAGGGAATTGAACCATCGACTGATCTTAAAACAGTGATGCATACTGATCAACAAATTTCAGGCCCCAATCTTTCAAATATCCGCTATCCACGAGATGTTAGCGGCCCGAGATATCAATGTCCCGAGTGTGAGCAACAGTTTTTGGTGAGTTTTTGTGAAGAATTCAAACCGGAATCAAGCAGAAATTGTAGAAAGCGTCAAGCTGAATAAATTAAAACTTTAAAAATACTTCTTCATTGTCTTTTTTTTTTTACAGTTTCACCGTTTAATGGGAATCGTCGTGTGCCCATTTTGTCAAAAAACAGTCACCGTTGGGAGATATGTGAGTTTTATGATAAAAAAAAGTGACTTATTAAAGAAAACAGTAAAAGTTGTTGTTTTAAAAGTTCAAGTAGCTCAGTGGTAGAACATCCAGTAAGCAGAAAGTAGGATTTTGTTAATCATAGATTTTGAATCGCCAAATTAAATTCACTAGGTCTCCCCATATCCATCACTAATTGGATTGCAAATTGGCTTACCGAAAGGACATTTCGCGTCCGCTTAGACTCTACTTTTTCGAATGACTTCCCCATTAGTAGCGGTAGAAGTCAGTGGTAGAACATCCAGAACATAGAACTCAGTGGTAGAACATTCAAATTCTTCCATTCATCTCTTTGTTTTAAATACTGATAATCTTGAGATATCTTGTACAAATGTTCGAAAATTTATGAGCACTTTTTCAGAACAAGAAACGCTCAACACTGTATCTCGTTGTCGGGCTGTTATTGCTATTGGTGTCAGCCATCATTCTCACCGCTTACTTCATCTGGTTTCCCAAGATGCCCTACGTATTGATATCGGGTGAGATTTGATGAAAAAAGGGTTCATTTAACTTATTGGTTATGCAATTTTATCAGAACTATTTCAAACAACGAACAGAGTAGTCGGTCGCTAAACGAACGGAGTAGTCATGCGCTAAACGAACGGAGTAGTCGTGCGCTAAACGAACGGAGTAGTCGGTCGCTAAACGAACAGAGTAGTCATGCGCTATCAGGTTGCTAAATGCATTTTAGCTAATGGCTTTTGTTTTCTAAAGTGTTTACGCTGGATCCATTGTATCCATGTTTGATTCCATTGTATCCGTCCTATTTGTCTTGGCTACATTTTTTTCTAGCTCTAAAAAGCTCATAAATTTCTCAAAAAGAAAAAAGAAATCTGAAACTTTAAAACAAAGCAATGATTTTGCTTTGTTTAAAACAAAGTAAACAAAGCAATAAAGCAATTTTAAACAACAACAAAGCAACAAAGCAACAAAGCAATGTCAAAAGCGTATTTGCCATAAAGCGTGAGTCAATTCTTAAGTTATCAATCAAATCAATCAAATCAATCAATCAGATCAAATCAATGCTCGTCAAAGTTGAAACATTTTCTCCATTTCCTTCATTTTCTCAATTTTTCAGTGTTACTGATCTCTGTCGGTGGTTTCGTCTCGTTGATCAAAGCGGCACACACGAGAAATCGCTATCCAGACGCGATACGGGTCGATCAATATTGATATAGTTGCTGAAAATTTGAATTTGAACAAAAAAATTGAACAAATATTTAAAACTTGAAAATTTAACATATTTAACATATTTGACGTATTGTTTGTTTCACCAAAAACATTGAAATTTTATTTTTCAATTCTAAATCATGAAAGCCTTCAGTCAACCATTTCTTTTAACGGAACACGGGGTAGGCTACTTTGCGCCAAATCTTTTGCGCAATTCGCCATAACTTTCTTCTAAGTCGATCAATCTTTATGATTTTGGTGCCATTTTGTTGCACTTATTGAGATCTACAAAATGAAACTAGAATCAAAAAGATTGGCCGACTTAGAAGAAAGTTATGGCGAGCTGCGCAACAGGGTTATTTGCGCAACAGGGTCGTTGGTGCAACTAGGTCCATAACTTTCTTCTAAGTAAGCCAATCTTTATGATTTTGATGCCATTTTGTTGCACCTATTGAGATCTACAAAATGAAACCAACATCATAAAGATTGGCTTACTTAGAAGAAAGTTATGGCGAGTTGCGCAAAAGACCCAGTAGCGCAAAAAAAAAATTGCGGAAATTAGCCTACCCCAAAAAATGTCGAAAACGATTAAAATTCAAAAGAAAATATTCAGTTATTCCATTGAAAAAATTCCAAATTTCACTTAATAATGTACAGATTTTGTGAGAAATTTTCATTTTCTTTTACTTTATTTTGAAACATGTAAAATTTTTTTTGCTTAAATTTTTTTTAGTTGCTATTTTTTTTTTGCTTAGAACTGGTATCATAGTGTTTCAATTACTTTTTTTTTTCATTTCCTTTTCCTTGTAAATCTACTTAATCTTTGTATGATAATTTATTGCTTTTATGTGAATTTCTTTTGTAATTTTGTTTTTTTTTTTCAAAATTGCCCAATTCTTGTTGCTCACTCTTTTTTCGGCATCCGCTCAATTAGTTTTAGAGTTTTTTTTTTTTTCGAGTTTCTCGAAAAGTTGTTTATGTGATAAAATTTTGATAATAAAAAAAAAGATCAAGAAGGCTAAAGGCTTTGGCTATGGCAAAGTAAAGCTTTTTTTTAAAGTTGAAACAATTTAAAGGAAAAAAAATGGCGTTACCCGAAAATTTTGCGATATTTTACTTAAAATAATTGAAAATCAAAAACAGTATTTAAATTTTGATTCTAGAAATAAATGAAATTGTGTCATAGGGAAGATGCTTTCAAGCCATTTATCAATCAATAGCAAAGCGTCAGAGTTAAATAAAAAGATGCGATGAAATGATTAAAGGAATTCCCTCCATCTACAAAATCATTCGTTGATAAAATCGATGTTCCTTCTCGGGAATGCACTTGTGAACATCGAGAATGCAATTAATTTGCGGAAAAATCATGTACAAGTGTTTTCAGAGTGTACAGAGTGAAATCGAGAATTCAAAATCCTCTTGCTTTTGTTGATTTTTCTTATTACACCAAAGAAGGTCATCATGTCGAGAAAATTCATGCTTAGGCTCAGGCTTAGGCTCAGGCTTAGGTTCAGGCTTAGGCTCAGGCTTAGGCTCAGGCTTAGGCTCAGGCTTAGGCTCAGGCTTAGGCTCAGGCTTAGGCTCAGGCTTAGGCTTAGGCTCCGTTACCCGTTTCCTAAAACGTGTTCTTTCCTCAGTTACCTTTCACTTTTTCTAAAACATTACTAAAGTAATTGCTAAAGTAAGTGTAGTTTCAAATCGAAATTTCATGCAAAGTTTCCAAAGTAAACAAAAAAAAGAAGTAAATTTAAAAATTTAACACCAGAAAATTTTAAAGTTTTGTTTATTTCATTTTGCTTTTGAGTTTATCTTTTTATCTAAAACCTGAACTATGAAAAGTTCGATTGAAGATAGCTCCCTGAAAAGGCGCCAGGAACCAATCAACTAATAAAACTAGCCGTACGATTGGTCTCATCTTTTCGCAAAAACTTTTTCAATAATAGGTATATTTGCTGGAAAATTTTTCGAAAAATAGATGGTGGGCTTTTTGAGAAATTACAGAGAGAAAGGCTTTAAGCTATTGATTATTGAACTTATCAGCCAGCTTAATAATAAAAATAAACCGAGAAAAGATTAAAAAAAACTTCCACAGGCATTTAGCTAAACTTCCACAGGCACAAACTTCCACAGCTATCCTTTCTTTGCAATGCAATACATTTTTACATCTTTATTGACTTAAAGTGAACAAAAAATACTATTTATTATGTCAATAGGATGCACAATGGGAGAAAAGAGTGAGATTGGGAGAGAAGAGAAGAGGAGACGGAGGGAAACGATCGTCAAGATTTATTTTGTCGTTGTTCTCCTTTCACTCGGTTAGTTACGAGTCTAAAGCAGGGAAATTAGCATGCTAGAAAAAAGCTATTTTAGTAATGTTTTAGAAAAAGTGAAAGGTAACTGAGCATGAATTTCCTCGGCATGATGACCTTCTTTGGTGTAATAAGAAAAATCAACAAAAGCAAGAGCATTTTTGAAGCATTACATTCAGCTCAAATATAAACCTAAGTGAGGAGAAGTTTTAGAGATAACTACGAATGAAAGTTCTCTATGTTAACTGTTTACTTAAGCTGAATGTAATGCATAAAAATGGCTAATGCAGGTAGCAAAAGTACGTAGAAAAATCAAAAGAAACGCCAGTTCAAACTAGAAATGAGAAAATTCCAAGTCGAACCTAATTCCACCTTCATTTTCTCGACTGTTTCTTGGTCGATTGCTTTAGAATTTTGTCTACAAGCTGAAAATTCCGATTTCAATCTGTAGACAAAATTTCAGAGCAATGGGCCAAGAAAATGAAGGTGGAATTAGGTTTGGGTTGAAATTTTCCCATGTCTATTTCATACCTCTCCTTCGGGCTGTGACACTCCATCGACTTTGCTGGCTTCAACGGCTGGACCGCTTGCTGGCGGTGGTGGTGGCTTCTTCTTCTTTCCGCATTGGATCAGGGCAGTCAGCATGCCAATACTAAATAAATGATAAAATGAAATGAACATCTTGAATACTTATTAAAACTTATCATCTACTTTCTAAAACTATCATTATCATCAGAGTTAGCAAAAAAAAAGAAAATCAAAAACAAGCCAGTTACTGTTGCTCAATTTCTCGTAAACTCTAGACTAAGCCAAGTCAAAGTCAAGGTTTAAGGCCAAAAACAACAAGTATAAGTTTAAAATTCCAGATCAAGGTCAATTGAAAGCCTTTAGCTATGGCTTGGCTCGGCTTAGCTTGGCTTAGCTTGGCTTGGCTTGGCTTAGCTTAGCTTAGCCTGGCTTGGCCTAGCTTAGCTTGGCTTGGCTTGGCTTGGCTTGGCTTGGCTTAGCTTGGCTTTTGCTTTTTTTTGATAACCCTGATAATCTATTCACCAGTTAGCTCAATTTTCATCAAAAGGCTTTGCCAATGATACAAAAATTGAGCTGATCAAGTGAAAACTGAGTTAGAAAAAAAAAGAGCTAGACTAGAGCTAGACTGGTGCAAGTAAAACAAAAAAGAGCTAAACTAATTAAAATTTCAATCAAAAATAAAAGTAAAGGAAAAAGAGACCTGTAAAAGACGAATAAACCCAATTGAAGCATGGTGGCTCGGCGTTGTGTAGCTCAAGTCGAAATCTTGGCGAAATGATAATTTTTGTGCGAATGTCGTTTGTTTATAAAAGCTCGTTAAATGCAAATTTCGCCTTTTTCAGACAGTACACAAATTTTTTGCACTTTTCACACTTTCTTTGTTTTTTTTGGGAGTGAGACAAATGCGACCTTTTTTTTGCGCACCCGGACATTTGCGCACCTTTTTTTCCGCACCTTGCCCATTTGCGCACCTTTTTTCGCGTTTTAAGCTCTAAAAGCTCTAAAAAAAGCTCTAAAAAGCTAATATTAACCAATTTCTATTCCAAAAGTTGTTTTTCTAGGTATCTAGGTAATTTGAGGGCGTAGAATCGAAATTTTGACATAACAGAGCGTGTGGAACCAAGACAAAACGGCTCTTTGAAAGACAAAACGGCTAGATCAAATTACAAAAAATTGTCGATTTTTCTCTTTGTATAACTCCGTCCGTTTGTTTCCACAAGCTCTGATATTTAAAAATGCCGACTGGGGCTACCAGTGGTGAATTTATCGCATACACGAAATATATCAATCACAATACAACGACACACACAATACTAGGCTATATCTTAACTTAACCCACGTCATGACAGACGGCTCCCTAACCCTAAGCTCAATGGGGAACTAAATAGCTTTTTTGGTGGTGAAGGGAAGATGACGATGAAGGAGTGGCTTGTCACTTTAAAGAACTGGGGCCACAACCACCAGACTGCCCTCCAGAAAACCTCTCAACCCGAAGGGAAAGGAAATCCGAAGGGGGTGACCATGTCGCATGTGGGGTTCGAACCCTCGACCTTCCGATTAAGATAAAAGACACTTAACCAGTCAGCCACACGTGCTTAGTGTCAAAATTTCGCTTCTACGCCCTAAAATCACCTAGAAAAACAACTTTTGGAATAGAAATTCGTTATTAGCTATATTAGCTATATTAGCTTTTTAGAGCTTTTTTAAAACGCGAAAAAAGGTGCGCTAATGGGCAAGGTGCGGAAAAAAAGGTGCGCAAATGTCCGGGTGCGCAAAAAAAAGGTCGCATTTGTCCCACTCCCGCTCTTTTCACACTTTCTTTGTTTTTTTTTTTGATAAGAAAATATTGAAAAATCATTTATTATGCAAATTTCACTTTAAAACTTTCAAAAATACACATAAAAAAGCCACCTGTTCATATATAAAAATCAAATTTGACATAAAAATAAATAATTCATTGTAATTTCCGATAAATTAAAGGAAAATAATAAAATTTCCGATAAAAACTCGTAAAATGAGACAATAAATGAAGGAAAAAGTTTGAGAAAATTGATATTAAAGTCAAGAAAAAGTGATTTTTAGTTTCAAATCTCTTTTCATTTTCAATTTTCTTTTCATTCACTGAATCTCTTTCTCGAAATGCACTAAATATCCCTTAGCGGCCATCACCGAGCGACTGCGCAACCAAATCGTGTAACTGAAATCGTAAACATTAGAAAGAACAAAAAAAAAACACTTAACCAAATGCTTTAGACTTCGGTTTAGAAGAATTAAATTTGGTTTTTTAAAAACAATCCCTCTTTTTCGAGATTTATTCAAAGTTAATCGCACGGTTATTTCAAGGAGAGGTTCTTTCGTTAGAAATTCTTTCGTTTTAGAAATTCCAATCACCTCCAATAAGTTTGTTTATAACTCTTTTCCAATAAGAACTCCCAGAATTTGGAATCGACTCCCCAGAGTTTTGGTGATAATTTGTAAATAAATAATAGGAATTTCTGATCAAAAAAAAACCATAGCTCAATTGGTTCATTATTTATTTCAAAAAGAGAGTCCAATCATCTCGAAACCTTTAAATTATCTGTAGATGATCTTGATCTTGAAGCCTTGAAGCTCTAGTGGTTTCCTAAGCCTAAGCTCTAATGGATTCCTAAGCCTAAGCTCTAGTGGATTCCTAAGCCTAAGCGCTAGTAGATTCCTAAGCCTAAGCTCTAGTGGATCCTTGACGTTATCTGTGCTACCCATATATTACATATATTATATCGTGTTGCTTTTTATCGGCCCTTTTCGTGTTATGTGTATGAATTGATGTGTTTTAATGTCTTAAATCTAGCACACTTTATCTCAGGTCCTGAACAAAGTATCTATATATATAAATCATCACTCACCGTGCCGCCCAAGTAACGGTGAAATCTCGAATTGATTCGCCAAACAATTTCACGCTTTCCTCCTCAAAAATTCAAACAATTAACAATGATTAAACAATGAATTACCATTTCAAATATTTAGATATGTAAATGAAATCTTTAGTTTTTTTTTTCTTTTATATTGGGTTGATGGAAAAGTCCTTTCCGATTTTTTGGCCCTTTACTAAAATAGTTGTAAAAACTTTTAGAAAAAAGATATCTCAAAACGGTTTTTACCAATCGATCCGTCTTGAATTCAGCTTTAGGATGAGCTATAAAACGTCAAAATTCGACAAATTTAAGGTACTCTCCCAAAAAATCGGAAAGGACTTTTCCATCAACCCAATAATTAACACATCATTAGTTCAAATAAAATTTGATTACCTTAAAATTCGGGCATAAATCGAAAGTGCGCGCGTCGTTGTGAGTAAGGAGTTGAATGTCGTGCAATTTTGCGAACTCGACTAACTCGCTGGGAACCTGGAAAAATTTGAAAGTTGAAATGAAAATTGATAGACTTTGCAACAATTTGAAATGTTTCGTTTTATAGACAAGCTTTCATACTACAAGAAACGATAAGTCTGGAATAGGCCCAGCGAGTTAGAGGCCCAACGATAGGCCTGGAATAGGCCCAGCGAGTTAGGGGCCCAACGATAGGCCTGGAATAGGCCCAGCTAGTTAGAGGCCCAACGATAGGCCCCCAGCTTCGCTGACAAAGCTTCGAACTCACAAATAAGTCTTGGGCATTAAGAATTTCGAAGTCATTCTGATGTTGTAAAGTTTGAAACTTCAAATTGAAAAGGCTTTATGACAGATTGAGATTTTCAAATGGTTTAAATGGTTTAAAAGGTTCAAATGGTTTAAAAGTTTAACATTTGAGACCATGTAAAACAGTTTTAAATGCTTTTTTTTTTCAAAAATTGAGCGAGTTTCTAGGAAAAAATTGTTTAATTCAACAGAATTCAACAGAATTTTTGGTGTAAAGCTATTGAAAAAGAAAAATCCCCAACCGCGCAACATCCATCGATACTGTAGTGATCGATTTTCGGCGGATCTTTCTCCGCATTCTCGCACAATAAACGCAAACGCTCGACGTCGGTGTCCGACACGCCCAACACGTGAATCTAAATGGGAAAATGTGAAAAGGAAAGAATTTAGACTACAATAGCTCTTCTTTGGGAACAGAAAGATGCTGATGAACAATGTGAAACAACAATGTTTAAAATTTGATTTTTTCCCCCTAAATTGCATTGTAGATTCCAGTCTAACTACTCTAGAAAGATAAAGATTCAGTAGAATATTCCGGCTTATTCTTTCGGCTTATTCTTTCGGCTTATTCTTCCGGCTTATTCTTCCGGCTTATTCTTCCGGCTTATTCTTCCGGCTTATTCTTCCGGCTTATTGTAGCACTACCGGCTTACAACTAATGGTATTTAGTCTTATATTTGCATTTCCCCCCCTTATAAATGCCGATTTTCAATCCATTATTTCAACTTTATCAAGGGGCTTTAAAAGGATAAGTATTGCACTTTTTCTAATAATGAAAAGACATGCAAACAATGACTACGTGACGCTCCTCTGGGCATTTCATAATACTAGGAAAAATATGGTATATGAAGAATGCTACATTCGATTTCGTCAATTGTAGCTTTACGTTTCTCCCTGCCCTGCCCCCCCTGCCCGCCCCCCCCCCCCCCCGCCCCCCCCCGCCCGCCCGCCCGCGCCCGCCCCCCGCCCGCCCTGCCCGCCCGCCCTCCCTGCTCTGCCCCTTGCCCTGCCCCCCCCCCCCGCCCGCCCGCCCCGCCCTGCCCTCCCTCCCGCCCCCCTGCCCGCCCGCCCGCCCGCCCTGCCCTGCCCTGCCCTGCCCCCGCCCCCCCCGCCCCCCTGCCCTCCCGCCCTGCCCTGCCCTGCCCTGCCTTGCCCTGCCCTGCCCTGCCCACCTTTCCATTTTCAGCCATTTTCTCGAGCGGACACCATACTCGCAACACTGCCTCCAGCCATTTCTCGTCTTCCTGAAATCAACGAAAATTCTTGTGTGTTTCAAGCTTTCCCTTCCCTAATTGCAAAATATTCCTCTAATGCTGATGGACTCGATTTGGGTCAACTTCCAATTTCCAAGCTGCTATTGAGTCTACTGGACTGTTTTCTAATCTAGCAATGAACAAAGCTCATGGACTCTAATTTAGTTCAACGTCCAATTTCTTATTTTTTGTTTTTAAAACAAAACCCCCTACCATGTCCTCTTGTTGCTTGGGAAATTGAAGAATAACTTGAGAGATCGAGCCGAGTTTCAACTCGCGAAGGGACAATTCGACAGCCTCCGGGGTGAGTTTCGGCGAGAAAGTCGGCAGGAATACCTGAATGAATTGAAAGATGAAGATGTTATAATTTTAATGTAAACAATGGCTTATTAAGTTTGGTTCTTATAACTAGTTAAGTTTAGAACAATTCAAAAAAGAGTGAAAGTTTTTCACAGATAAAAGGAGTGTTTGAGTTTCAAAAAACAAGGGAGAAAAAACTGAAGGACGATGAGAATTTGTTTTTCAATAACCTACCGTAAATACTGTAATAGTACCCCACCCCCCTCGTACAGTCGCAAAAGTTTTTTAGTATTTTATTTTTTTCAAAGCACCCATACTTTCAAAAAATGCGTCTTTGGTATCAAAAAATAGCCCTGAATTTCAGTAATGAATACTCCTACTCGTTAGTTTGCCTCACCAGTCTCATTCTAACCATCGCACGCCATTGAAAAGGTTTTGCTAAATTATAGAAAGGCTTAAATATTAGCGTCGGGTCAATCGGGTCAATCGAAAAAAAATCCTCCAAATTTTAACAGATCCAACTCTTAGAAAACAACTGAGGTAAGCGCCTAAGCGCGAGTTGTAGCATAAACCAGTGTCGAGAAAAACTCGTTCAAAGCTGTCTAGCTATTGTAATAGTAGCCCCACCCCCATAATGCGGTAGGTGTTGCGTGTCTGCTTTGGACGGTGCCGACCTATTTGCTTGGTATCAAAATAGCTCAAATTCAGGGCTATTTTTTGATACCAAAGCGCGCATTGTAGCATAAACCAGTGTCGAGAAAAACTCGTTCAAAGCTAGACTACGCAACACTCCACACCGTCATTATGGGACTGGGGTACTATTACAGTATTTACGGCATGCAAATTTTCAAATTCATTTCATTTTCTTCAATCAAATAGATTAGAAAAACTTTAAGAATTTAACTAAATTAGTTTATTTAAAAAAATTCTTTAAAAATCCCCCAAATCCACTCACTTTCAGAGTTGTCTTGATATCAGCTTTGTCAACGTCATCCAAATCGCACGCAGAGAGCGAGATCGGCTCAGAGCTAAAGAAACAAAAATAGAGGTAAGATAGAAATACGGAAATATTTAAAAGTTAAAGTTTTAACGTTAAAATTGTTGACATTGAAATTTGCAATTTTAAACTTTAAAACTTAAAAATTACAACTCTTAAAACCCTTAAAACTCTTAAAATTAACTCTTAAACTCAACTCTTAAACTTTAAAACTCTTAAAACCAAGGTATCGATTGATTTCCTAGCCTTAATTTAACCATTTAACCAAACGCCAAAAGTTTTGATAACCAATTTTCGAACTATATTGATATTGATTTTCCGAGCATAGCTTCCTAAACCTTGAAACATCAAAATCCAATCACTTAAAGCCAGTCTAGCCAGTCTACCCCGTCTAGCCAGCCTATCCAGTCTAGCCAGTCTAGGCCAGTCTATCCAGTCTAGCCAGTCTAGGCCAGTCTAGCCAGTCCAGCCAGTCTATCCAGTCTAGCCAGTCCTAGCCAGTCCAGCCAGTCTATCCAGTCTAGCCAGTCCTAGCCAGTCCTAGCCAGTCTATCCAGTCTAGGCCAGTCTAGCCAGTCTAGGCCAGTCTAGCCAGTCTAGCCAGTCTAGCCAGAGCTTACTTTGAACAAAGCTTTTCAAACTAGTCTAGCCTTTCTGGAAATATATTTGCTTTTTGATTTAAACAGTCTCCCACTCGAGATTCAGCTTTCCGGGGCCCTCTTTAGCGAATTTAGCGAAAGCGGCAGTGAGCTCGGCCGACGAGTTCACGTGGCGCTTCATCATCAGCTAAAAAAAATGGATTTGAATTGTTCTAAGCTTAAGTTTATTACCAAAGAAACTTTTTTAATTCCAAAATCCACCCACTTCAGTATACTGTGCAAGATTTCCCGTGTCAACCGTGAATGATTTCCTTTCCGAGAGCTTCTTCTCCAACATTTTTCCTTGCTTTTGAAATGTTGAGCTGAAATTGTACTTAAAAATTTAAAAATTAAGTTTTCTTTTATATTTTTGAATGAATGAATGAATTTATTCGAACAAAAAGTGAGATTGTAAATGTGAAAAGTTGAAGAAGAGTTGATAATACTTGTATAATGTGATGTGAAAAGTCGAGGAATAGTCGATAATACTTGTATAATACTTGTAGAATTGTATAGGACTTGTATAAAACTTCTATAGAACTATATAGAATAGTTCTTATTCAATAAAAGTCAAAAAAAAGCTGTACAGAATGGTCAATAGTACCTGTATAATGCATAAAACTTGTACAGAATTCTATAGAATACTTATTATTCAATAAAAGTCAAAAACTTGTATCGAATAATCGACAATACTTGTAGAATTGTATAGGACTTGTATAGAACTATATAGAACTATATAGGACTTGTATAGAACTATATAGAACTATATAGAACTATATAGAATGCTTGCTATTCAATAAAAGTCAAAAACTTGTATAGAATAGTCAATAATACTTGTATAGAACTTGAATTCTATAGAATACTTAGTATTCAATAAAACTAAAAAAAAACCTGCATAGAATAGTCGATAATACTTGTATAATGTATAGAACTTGTATAGAACTATATAGAACTATATAGAATACTTGCTATTCAATAAAAGTCAAAAACTTGTATAGAATAGTCAATAATACTTGTACAGAACTTGTACAAAATTCTATAGAATACTTACTATTCAATAAAAGTCAAAAAAAAGCTGTATAAAATAGTCAATAATACTTGTATAATGCATAGAACTTGTATAGAACTATATAGAATACTTATAATTCAATACAAGTCAACAAAAGTCAACAAAAGTCAATAAAAGTCAAAAACTTGTATAGAATAATTGAAACTTGTTTAGGTTTAATGAATGAAAATGATCTTATTTGATTTGTTATTTGTTTATTGGACATTTAATTGTGAAAATTATTTTTATTTTATTTTCTCTCTAACAATTTTTATTTTAAAAATGCAGTTTTTTAAATTTCAAAAGACTTAGTGAAAATTGTAGAGATTTTTTTTTAATTTTACCTATCTTAAATAGAAAAATAAGCAATTATTAGTTGATTATTAGAAAAAAAAATGATCTTGATGATTGATTGAACAAAACATTGATGATAAATGCAGATTGATCTGATTGATTTTGCACATTGCTACGAGAAAAGCACAAAAACTGGCCTTGAAGTGGTCAGGGAAAGATGGAGATGCCGAGAAAGAGAACAAATTACGAAGAAATCGTCGATTTTTCGGAGAAACTAAAGAAACAAAGAAGACAAACACTAAATGTTCGAATGTTTGAATGTTCAAATGTTCGAAATTGATTTAAAAACAAAAAATAAAGCTTGGGATTATTTTCGAAGCTGAATAAATACCGTAAATACTGTAATAGTACCCCAGTCCCATAATGACGGTGTGGAGTGTTGCGTAGTCTAGCTTTGAACGAGTTTTTCTCGACACTGGTTTATGCTACAATGCGGGCTTTGGTATCAAAAAATAGCTGAAATTCAGGGCTATTTTTTGATACCAAAGACGCATTTTTTGAAAGTACGGGTGCTTTGAAAAAAAATGAAATACTAAAAAACTTTTGCGACTACGCGACTGTACAAGGGCGCTGGGGTACTATTACAGTATTTACGGTAAGTTATCTCATCAAACACAACTATTGTTTTAAGTGATAACATTAAAAAAGATATTCTCAACTTTGAAACAAAAGATTTTTCAAATTTCAGCTATTTTTTGATACCAAAGACGAAATTTTCTTTTCTTTACAGATTTGGTTCCTTTTGAAAGTACGGGCGCTTTGAAAAAAATGAAATACGAAGAGGCTTTTGCGACTACGCGACTGTACAAGGGCGCTGGGGTACTATTACAGTATTTACGGTAATAGCTAATAGAAAGTCGCAAAAGTTTTTTAGTATTTCCTTTTTTTCAAAGCGTACTTTGAAAAAATGCGTCTTTGGTATCAAAAAATAGCCCTGAATTTGAGCTATTTTTTGATACCTAAGCGCACATTGTAGCATAAACCAGTGTCGAGAAAAACCCATTCAAAGCTAGACTACGCAACGCTCCACACCGTCATTATGGGACTGGGGTACTATTACAGTATTTACGATAAGTTGTTTCAAGGTTTTCTTTGATGAAAAAGTTTGCAAAGCATCAAATTTCAAGAAAGCAAAAGCATCAATTGAATCGAAAAGTCTAATCATAAGCTTTAAAATTTTGAAACTTCATCTTTCTTCCCGAATATAAAATCAATTTTTCATTCTCTAAGCTCAGAAAAAGTGTTTTTTTTTTGAAAGAACAGTTTATTAATAATAATACTTTATTCAAACGATAAAGTGAAAGAAATCATAGAGAAATGCACAGTGATACTTAATCATACAATACATACTGAAATCAATAAGCCAATTACTTACGGCAAAGAGCCACTAGATCTAAAGCATCGATACGTTTCTTGAATATGAAAAGCGACTGAATTTCTCGTATGTCGTTTGGGAGCAAGTTCCATAATTAATCTAAAAATTTACGAAAAGAAAAGTTATGATATTCTAAATTTAGTTTCTTTTTTTTTGAAAACATTGAATACCGTATTTCTTCGAATAGAAGACCGGGTAAAGAGTATGATCGCGTACTCCTGCGTAGCAGCCCTTTTTAAAATTTCTTTTCTGCATAAAAGCTTTCAATCAAGTGCTATAGGGCTGGAAAATGGCTCAAAAATCTGTTAGCTCATGTCGTATTTTTGAGCCATTTTTGAGTCATTTTCCAGCCCTATAGCACTTCATTGAAAGCTTTTATGCAGAAAAGAAATTTTAAAAAGGGCTGCTACGCAGGAGTACGCGATCATACTCTTTACCCGGTCTTCTATTCGAAGAAATACGGTAAGTCGAAAATTTTCGCTTAACTTTTCAAATTTCACTGTTTTCTATTTTAAAAAAAGCTTGTTTCAATGTTTTTTTTAGGGTTAACGTCTCTAGAAAAAGCTATTGTTGATAGATCTATCGATAAATAGCATAATAGAAGAATTCTCGAGTCAAAAATCTATCAAACATCTAAGAAATAGGTTTAAGGAAAGTTTAGGGAAAGTAAAGCAAAAATTCACCTTAAAACAAAGTGAAATGAAAGGAAAGTTGAGGGAATTTTGCTTATATTTAGTTCTTTTCCCCATTTTTTTTTCGTTTCCATGGGGCTGGCTCTATTTTGTGTTTTTTGTGTGTTTTTTGTGTTCTCCAAAAAACCCTCCGAAAAGCTCTTTCCTTTCGTTTTCTCATCTTTTTGTTAGGAAAATGACGTATCGAGTTTCAAATAGAATACACATTTCTATTAAAATTTCGAAATTAAACTCAACTAAAATTTAAATTTGATTGAATTTAATAAAGTTTTAGAGAAATTATCAATGGGAATTTGATTTAATAGTTTAATAGTTTAGTAGTTTAGTAGTTTAATAGCTTAATAGTTTAGTAGTTTAATAGCTTAATAGTTTAGTAGTTTAATAGCTTAATAGTTTAGTAGTTTAATAGCTTAATAGTTTAATAGCTTAATAGTTTACTATTTTAATAGTTTAATATTTTAATATTTTAATAGCTTAATAGCTTAATAGTTTAAATTTAATAAAGTTTTAGAGAAATTATCAATGGGAATTTGATTTAATAGTTTAATAAGTTTAATAGTTTAGTAGTTTAATAGTTTAGTAGTTTAGTAGTTTAGTAGTTTTATAGTTTAATATTTTAATATTTTAATGTTTTAATAGTTTAATAAGTTTAATAAGTTTAATATTTTAATAGTTTAATTGTTTAATAGTTTAAATTTAATAAAGTTTTAGAGAAATTATCAATGGGAATTTGAAATTTGGGTAATTGCAACAAATTTAAACAAAAAAGACTTTAAAAAACTTTAGCAAAACCGACCGAAATAGTGCTCGAATTGTCAGCGAAATGCCTTCGTTTTGCGCTTCTCAGAAACTCAGAAATTTAAGTTTTTTTATGCAAATTTTTCTTCAGCTGTTCTTTAGATTTGTTAAAATTGAAAGACTATTATGTTTTGTAAAATCAATCAACCAATCAACGTTTTTTTTAAGTTCAGCGTTTATCCCTTGCTTTCCGCGTTCACTAACGTTCCGCGTTCACTAACGTTCCGCGTTCACTAACGTTCCGCGTTCACTAACGTTCCGCGTTCACTAACGTTCCGCGTTCACTAACGTTCCGCGTTCACTAACGTTCCGCGTTCACTAACGTTCCGCGTTCACTAACGTTCCGCGTTCACTAACGTTCCGCGTTCACTAACGTTCCGCGTTTTCCACGTAATCTATAGTGAACGCGAAAAAATTCATGAATGATTAGCGCTTTCAGCTTAAATAAAGTTTCACAACGCTTGAAACTTTTGAACAAGTGAGTTTTGATTTCAAGATTTTAAGACGACAGCTACGAACTAATCAAATAAGCTTGACTTTTACCTTGAAAATGTTGAAACTTGAAACTGTTTCTTGAGAGCATTCAATAATGATAAGTTTTTCATTAGATCAAGATTAAAATATGAAACTCGGTCAAAAATGTTCGGATCAGCCCACATGTGGTACCATAATAGTCCTTGAATACTTTTCTACAAATTTGAATCAAAAATTCTTGACGAAAATTTGTTCGAGTGGGCTAAACATCGGTCAGAAGGCGTCCAAATCGGTTTTCTCATCGCAAAATTGAGATTTCGACAACGTCTCTGTCGCGATTGATTATTTTTCCAGACGCTTTTTATGAATAAAAAAGAATTACACAAGTTAATGGTAGATTACAATCAGACTTTTGTAAGGAATCTGAAATTGAATCGGAAGAGTTCAGATTGATGTGCTCGTCGAAGCAATGCCAAAGCGAATGAATATGCTTATCAAAAATGGCGGAAAATCTATTAAATACTAACGTTATCTTTTGTTGCAGGTTTTTGTTGGAGTTTATTAGTTAAAATTATAAAATAAAGCTGTTAAATCAAAGTGGATTTATCATTTTGTTACGCGGGAAAAATGGCGAAAAGCATAGAAACATTTCTATAAGCGCAATGTCTTCGTTTTATGCAACAGTTTTATGCAAATTTGATAACAGTTTGATGCAAATTGATTTAAAACTAAATTTTGAACATGTTTTTGGTCAAAACTTGAATTTTTATTCAAAATGTCTAGTTCCTGGGGCGCGAAAAACATGGTGGATCTAAACCGGTTAGGAGTCTTGTCTCTTAAGCGGAAGGTCGAGGGTTCAATCACTCTGGCAAGATAAAAATGTTTCTTTTTCCCACCAAGTGGGTTTTTTCTTTCACAACATTTGGGTAATAGGGGTAAATAGGGGTGAGAACGGCCGCAGTGCCATAAAATTGTGTGTTTAACCTTTATGTCTTATTGTGTACCCTTTGTTTGTATCACATTATTGGTTTTCAATAAATGTATTTTTTTAAAATCTATCATTTTGTTACGCACTGTATTTAGCTGTTGACTATTTGTATAGATTTGAGGAAATATTTTAATGTTTTCAAATCATTTTCAAATCATTTTTAATTCAAATTTTGTTTTATCTGAAATTTTAAAGTTTCAACCTAAAGGAATTGAGTCTTTTTTGGCAAATTTTTATACCAAAGTCATTTGAAATGTATAGAACTTTTGTAGAAAGCAATTTCCCTTTGAAAATAGCACCATAATTTATTCAGTTATGTATCAAATCATCGCTATTTACAACAAATTGAACAAGAAAACTTTTTGAAACATTTGAGTTGAGCTCTCAACGGGAATTTTGATGGAATTGATGGGAAAATGAGATGAGACCCGTCGCCAATAAACATTTCAATCATTTACAATCTGAAAATTGAGATGAAAATGATTTTGATCGAGCCTTACTGTAATAAATAGAAATATTCTTTTAAAAAAAACTCACTTCTTTCCTTTGTTTGAGCCCCAGAAGACGGCAGCACGGGCAAATGGAGCATAGGCGGGCACAACAGCCTGAAAAAAAGGGATTGGAAAATTGTTGTGTTTCAAAATAGTTAAAGATTGAGTTTAGGGTTAGTGATAGGCATCTTTAGATCATCTTTAGAGCTCCGATATTACAGCTTAAGTTTGTATTATAAGTTTGTAAGGATTCGTTTTTGCTAAGTCATCGATTTAAATTCAATTTTAGGTTTTTGGAAAAATTGAAAATTGTTAGTTTCAATAGATTTATGGTATAGAAGTTAGTTTTTTGGATAATGACGTGTTGCTTGAACTCGATGCTTGTATCAAAATTTTAAAACGGTATTGTTCTTATGATATCATTCTTATCATATCATTCTTATCATATCATTCTTATCATATTATTCTTATCATATCATTGTTAAGTGATGCTTTTAGATTCCACTTTAAATTGCAGTTTTGAAATATGAATGTCGAGGAAAAACTGACTGGAGCTGGAGCGGCCAAGACGGGGGCTGGGGCGAGAGCCGGGGCGGCGTACATCTGCAATGGTTTTGATAATGGAAATTGCTAGAATAAATCTCTGATTTCACTACTGATCACTTCTTAATCCTAATCTAAATCTCTTGTTCTTTTAGAAGTTTATATCTTTCAAACGCACTGGTGGAGCGAAGGCTGGAGCGGCGGCGAGGACCGGTGCTGGAGCGTAGGCTGGCGCGAAGGCTGGCGCGAAGGCTGGCGCGGGGGCGGCGAGGACCTGAAAGAGAAAATGAGATCTGTATTTGGAAATTTTACTTAAATTCTAAAGATATTCGAAAGGTACTGGGGAAATAGCAGTGTTTATTTGAGTACAATAACCCGGGAATGTAAAGTATTCAGGCGACAAGTGAATAGCGTTTAAATTCTAGCATTTTTGCCAATGAATGCTTTTTATTTCGGATTATTGTATTTAAGTTTGCATCCTGATTTATTTATGACTGAAAAAATAGTCTTTTTGTTTAAATTTAACTATTTTTTAATATTCCTTTGCATTTTTTATTAGCCAAAGTCTTTTTTTCATTGTTTTTTTTTGAATTTTGAATTTTGAACTTTGAACTTTGAAAAATTTAGTTTTAAAACTTTTGCTATTGTTTTCTAAAATGTTAAAACATTCTAGAAACTGAGATTTTCAATTCTCATCAAGTTTAGGAGAGATTTTTCCGTTTTAACCCTTTCCAACTTACTGGAGCAACAGCGGGAGCAGCGGCATAGTAGGCGGGAGCGGCTAGCTGAAAGCGATTTTTGATAAAGATTCAGTATAGATTTTTAGCTAGACTTTTTAGCTAGACTTTTTAGCTTTTTAAAAGACTATAAAAGTGTTATCGATTAGATTAGATTGATTTATTTGATCTAAATGATGGATTCGATTTAAAGTTTATTTTGTTTCCTTTTCTCTACAAATATGATTCCTTTTATCGATAATTTTGATTCCTTTTCTCTACAAATTTCTTTCCTTTTCTCTACAAATTTGATTCCCTTTCTCTACAATTTTGTTTCCTTTTCTCTACAAATTTCTTTCCTTTTCTCTACAAATAAAAATGTACCACTGGTCGTGGGGCGGCGAGGACGGGTGGAGCGGCGAACACCGGGGGCGGCGCGGCGAACACCTCAAATTTACATTTAGAAAAGTTTCTTTTTGATAAAACTGAATTGTTTTTTTTAAGGTTTATCGATTTCTTATTTCCCTAGGGTCCATTAAATCTGTAGAAAGTTGTCACAAGTCGACAAAATTTGAAACTCGATGCATACAAATGACTAAGATTCAATTCTATCTTGAAGCACAATTGAACTTTTGAATCTTTTGGAACTTGCACAATTGTTATATTAGCAAATCTAAAGATTTACAGGGTTTAGAAAGAAAAGCTACTGTATTTGGCTGTGATTACGGTAAAGTAGGTTGTAAATGAAGCTGTGTACTATACTGAAAAGTGCTGTAAGTGATTGCCATCTAAAATCTGCAGTGCTGAAAGTGTACAGTGCTACTAAAATCTACTGTAAAGCAAAAGTGATCTCAAAGACGTACAGGTTGAGCCAATGGTGCGGGTGGTGGAACGGGAAGGGCCGAGTCTCTCGCTGGGACGGCGTTGATCGGCGTTCGGGCAGCCGCAAAGAGACTCTCGAAGTATGGAGAGTACGATGAGGCGGGCCACTGGAAAAACAGAGTTTAGATGAAAAGTTGTGCAAATTTCTTACTCCCATGTTTCTTACAGTACTCTCATGTATTGTACTCAACTCAATCAATTACATCTATTCGAGCCCATTAAAGGGGTGAGCTAGCTAGGCATAGCTTGCAGTTAGGTTGGCTTTTTAGGAGAGCTTATTGCTTAAAAAGTATTCAGTTGCCGTTTTTCATTGCGTTAAATAGTTAAAGTGTTTTTGAGAGCAATTCTACTTTTGCTTCTACAATTCTACATCTACAATTCTACGTCTACAATTCTACTTCTACAATTCTACATCTACAACTCTACATCTACAATTCTACATCACAATTCTACATCTACAATTCTACATCTACAACTCTACGTCTACAATTCTACATCTACAATTCTACATCTACAATTCTACATCTACAACTCTACTTCTACAATTCTACATCTACAACTCTACATCTACAATTCTACATCACAATTCTACATCTACAACTCTACATCTACAACTCTACGTCTACAATTCTATACCTACAATTCTACTTCTACAAGTCCAATCCAATGAAGCAAAAAGTTTATGTTTCAAAAATTTGTAAGATCTGGACGGTTTGCTAGGGTTTAATGGCGAGTAAGTTGATTGCTTTCATAAGATTTACAATTTGAATAGATTGATTTAAAGTATAAAAAATTTAAAAGGCTAATTTGAAACTGGGGAAAAAGGAGCACACTTTTGTGAGGTTAGAATTCCCCTTTTACACTCACCGCCGCAAGTTGAGCGCTCGAAACGGCGAAGAGAGCGAAAGACAAAGCGATGATTCTGGAAAAGAAATTGAATAATCTCAAATTGAATTAAAATCTCTAGATTCGATCAATTTTTTTATAAGTACAGTATGTTATCCGCAAAATAGAAAAGGTAGGAAAAACGGCAAGAAGCATTTGCGCTTTGCATTTGCACTTTTCAATTTACACTCTAGCACAACTCTAACACTACAATTTACACACTAACAGTCACTTTTAAAAAATTGTCCTTTGCCACAAAGTGAAAAAGGATACGGTAGGCAAAGCAGCTTTTAAAGTATTCTTAAATTTGATTTTTAAAAAAACCTGCTTTGAGCTGCTTTAATTTCAATTTAAAGCAACTCAAATTTGTCACTTACTTGGCCATTTCTCGTTTAGTAACTGAATGAATCGGTTAGTTGATTTTTGAATCAAATCTTGCTTAAATAGTCGGCCTTCGATCCAAGGGCCAACCCCCAGCCATACCCCAGTACATACACCGGACCCAGTAAAGTCAACTACTCAAACCCTTCTCACCGGGTGCCAACAAGCGTGACCCCGCGCGCAAAGCTGAAAAGAGAGAAACCTGAAACATTCGCGGCGCCTCACAAAATGCCATTCTTTTGTTTGAAACTCAAAGATTTGCTTCAGCGATTTTTTTTCGTTTCCCTTTTTCTAAAACTTGATTCCCTTCTCGATTTCGGGGGCCACGCGACCCCCGCTGAAGAGAGCAAGCAATGGAACCTGTAGTTGGTAAATATACCCATTCGCACACACTGTGACAGCTCCCCTTTTCCATGAATTCTCTCGTACCTGATCAAAGTCTGTGGCGAAGATTGGAATTCAGGGGATTGGTAAGTTATTGGTACCTAAGTTGAGAATTTGGAACTTTTATTAAATTTGGATCTTCCAAGCAATGAGGTCATTTTTTTAGGGAACCATATTGGAACCGTATTGGAACCATATTGGAACCGTATCTGAACCATATTGGAACCATATTGGAACCAGATTGGAACCAGATTGGAACGGGATTGGAACCATATTGGAACCATATTGGAAACAAATTAGAACCATATTGGAACCATATTGGAACCATATTGGAACCATATTGGAACCGTATCTGAACCATATTGGAATCGTATCTGAACCATATTGGAACCGTATTGGAACCGTATCTGAACCATATTGGAACCATATTGGAACCTATTCAGGTTAATGTAGGTTTAGGCTCTAGACATATTATAGACCTACAATAGTCTGCCTTCATATGTAGTCACCCTTATAGTTAGGGTTTAGGGTAAGTTATTGCACTGCAAAGAAAGAGCTGACTACTGTAGGTTTGTCTAGAATGGATTACTCTAACTGTCACTGTATATATATCATAAACTGACACCGGGTAAGGTACTTGACATTAAAAAGAATTTTCAATAGCAAATCAGATGGGAAATGGTGAAGTAATGTAATTCTCCAAAAAGTTACGGTTTTCAATTTGAAACTTCAATAATTTCAGACGCAAAATGAATGCGCTAGACATTTTTTTTATCGTTGTTTTGTTCTCCACTTGTCCAAGAACGCCTGATAAACATTTTCATAGCTGAAATACTTTTTGTTTGATCTTTGATCTTTTTCTACTGTGTGTTCTGTAATTTCCACTTTATTTTAACCGGCACACAAAAAGATTGAAAAAAAGGAAAAGTTTGTGAGCAAGCAAATGAAAAGGAAACCTGTAGTGAGTAAATATACCCGTTTTCCTATCGACTTTCACTCTGATCAAAGTCTGGAATGGTTGTGAATCGAATGGAATTTGATTGTTGAAGTTGAGGAATGTGATGAATGCAATCATTGTGATGGAATTTGAATGTAAACTTCTAGACGGTCAAAGCGAACAGTTTTGGCTTCATTGTCAACAGATTGTCGATCTTTCAAGCCTTTCAAATTTAGATAAATGGCGTAATTCAAAAATTAGCATAGAAAATCTGTCTTGTCTGAAAATGTGCAAAAAAAATAATCATTTCTCTTCAAAACATCACTTCGATTCGGTCAACTTCAAGCGAAAATGGATTTTGGATGGCCAAAGTGAGTTTTTGTTTGTTTTTTTTTGCGAAAATTATCAGAACTCGATCTATTCTTAAGTTCAACTTAGCATTTTGATTGTAGGATTGCTTTTAACGCTGAATTTTCTAAATTCTAGATTTTAAACCCTAGCTTTTTAATTTGTTCTGTGAACTTGTTTATATATTTTTTTTGCTTAGATGGCCAAAGTGAGTTTTTGTGTGTTTTTTTTTTGCGAAAATTATCAGAACTCGATCTATTCTTAAGTTCAAGTCAACATTTTGATTGTAGGATTGCTTTTAACGCTGGATTTTCTAGTTTCTAGATTTTAAACCCTAGCTTTTTAATTTGTTCTGTGAACTTGTTTATATATTTTTTTTGTTTAGACGTCACCACTCAGGCAATCGTCAGCGCAGTCGTAGCCGTTCCCGCAACAGGGGTCGTTTCTACACCCAACCCATCAATCCAACTCAACTGAATCCCGTTGAGCCGTCAGGTATATTTTTTGTAAAGTAAATGCAGAACTAGAATATGAGGTTGTAGAAGTTTTACATCACAAAGAGAGCTTTAGCCCTTGACATTAAAAGTTTTAAGGTGATAAGCTAGCTGTAAGCCTGTAAAATAGCTTGAAACCTGTAAAGGTTTTTATTGTGAGAAGCTTTGGTTTGATATTTGATATAAGTTTAAGTTAATATGTTATTAATTTTTTTAGTGAAAGATGCGACTCCTGAAGGAATCGCTCAAAGTGAAGCACTCAAGAAGACTGTGAACGGTACGTTTATGGCTTCTAGCAATAGTCTTGTTGGAGTTTCAATTCAAAAGTGCTTTCGTATCAATTTTATTGTTTTTAGAGCGAAACCCGTACTTCATGGTCCAATTGGCGCAAGGCTCAAAAACGCACACAATCACCGATGTTCGATCGACCAATCAACTCTATGAGGTGAGGGTTTTATAATGCTTTAGTCATAAGTTTGGCTGTTTTCATTGTTTTTTTAGAAAGTGGTTGAATGTTTCCCGGAAGTTGCCTTGGACGATATTCTTTATTTGACTGTTGGCACATACAAGGTGAGCTTTTACAACCAAAACTTTGAGCTCATTTACTTTTAGCCCGATATGACAGCGGTGGTGGCTGGCCAGCTCAACTTTGGCGATCTCATTTTTGTGCATTTGAAGGGAGAGAAACGAGTGGTCGAGCTCTTGAAGACTGAACGGTTAGTTTTTGATGTTTGCTTTATGACTTTGGTGAAATGGTTTTGCTTTAGTTTGATGGGAATGACGATCTCGGACAATGGAGCCGGCAAGTGTTTTGTCAAGAAGCTCAAGCCAGGATCGACTGCTGAGAAGGCACGACCAGCCATCGATGATGGAATGCACATTGGTGAGATTCAACTGTTAAATCGTTATGGATTAAGCTAAATTAACCATATGCTTTAAAGTTTTATTTGAATTGAATCTCATGGATTTTATTTAGAGAAGGTCAACGACACGAGCGTGGTCGGCATGCGACACTATCAGGTGGCAAATCTACTTCGCGAGATTCCGATTGGACACACGTGAGTATCCCTTTTATTAGCATCAATTTAAGCGATTGTTCCTAGAGGCGATTTACTTTTGATTTGCTAGTTTCAATTACAATTGCAAGCAAGAAAATCGGCCTTTGCAGCATGTACTTAAGCAAATATGCTCGATTAACACAACTCTAAGATATGTTTTTATTTAAGTGTGAAGCTTCGTTTAATCTCTCCACTCCAATCTGGATTCTCAATGCTCGGCGCTCGTTCGCAAGCCGCTTCATCGAAACCAAAGAAAGAGCTGGAGAATGGAGGAATGACGCTTCGATTCAAAGCCAATGGAAATGCTGTCGTTCAACAAATACCCGATCCTACTAAAGCACAAGAAGATGAGGTGCGAATAAATGATTTTCCTTGACAATCTCATGTTTAGGGAGAAGTGCCAGCTGGGGTGGTTGCAGCAATCAATCGTCTTTTTGAAGAGTACATTGGATTCTCGGTGAGTTTATTAAATTTAAGAAGTATATTTTTACTATACACTTTATGAAGTTTGCTTCTTAGGATGAAGAGTTGTCTCGAAATGTTTGCGAGATTGCCGCTACTTGCACCAGTCCGTTTGATATGGTAAAGAAGCTCAAAGAGGTAGATATTTTTGATGTAAATCGTGCAAATTTGTTAGCTTAACTGTAGAAGATTTCTAATTATTTTTGTTGCTTGCCTGATAGTAATTCGCAAATTTAGTCGGAAATCTCTGTGTTCTCGTTCCCGGATGAGTTGGTCTTCGACATGTTCGGTCTCTACTCAGATCTCAAATCGGGACGGGGAGTTCGCGCATCGACCACTCCAATTGCTCTCGCCAAATAGACGACGAATAATGGACATTTTGAGACATTCTTTTTTCGCTTTCCTTCATCTTTTGTTTTCAACTCAACAACTCAAAATTGTCTTCAAAACTGGGCCCCCATCACTCTTAACGAGAATTCCTCTTTGTAATGCATCTTTTCCATATGATTTCTCGTGTTTCTTGCTATTGGAATAAAGGGTTTTATGGTGTATGGTTTGAAAATGGAATTGAGAGATCTACATACCTAAGAATCTTTTGGTTGAGAGCATAGTTCTTTATAGACATATAGAACAGGCTAAGAACATGTAGTTTTTCACATGAAAATAAAAGTGTTTCGCTGAGATATTTATGCTGCCACAGTGAAATGCGCGCTTTACTTTTTGCTTGATATTTGTAGCAAGGTTTTGAAGTTGCGTAATACAAAATATGACGTTTTACTGATAATAAGGGTCATTCGATCTGTTCAATCACAAAGCATAGAGGTAAAAATTCTAACGATCGCTAATATGTGCCCAAATCATTACAAAGATGTGAGAAGTTTAACGTGAAATAATTATAGTTTTTACTGAATTGAAACTCATCTCGCTGCTTGGCACTTTTAGTTTCAGAAACGCGTAAAAACTTAGAATAGGTGAGGTAATCTAAGCAAGCTTTCCGGGAAAATTTTGAATCTGCTTCCGTTGTTCTTGAAAATCAATCTTTGCATTTTTTAATTTGCATACTTGGCGCAAACGCATAATTTTAGTCTGAAAACTGCGAAATTTGCATTTATGGGTCAAATAAAAAGCGACGATTCGGACGCGAAATCATCATATCGTCCAGCAACTCGATATTCTCTTCGCGATGACGTCCTGCTATCTTGGAACCGGCTCGGGAGGACCCAATAAGAACCCAGGAACCACGTCCACCTACTTCACCCCTGGAGCAACACCTGGAGGAGCCGCAAAGCCTACTGGAGTTGAAGGAGCAGTGAGTTTTTTTACTGTTCTTGTTTTTACATTTTGACTTTGTCCTTGCCGGTTGGCTTTCTATAAGTTAGCTTATAGAAGTTTTTTCGTTTGTTGGTTTATAGAAGCCAGCTTTTATTCTTGTCCATTGGATTTTATAAGTTAGCTTAAAATTAATTTGCTTTTTGCCAATTGGCACTTAAAACTTGGCGCTACGGACTCATTCAACTTTTTTTAGTTCCCAGCTGGTGGTAACGGAGCGCAGTCGGCATATTTTGGAGTTGGAGCGCAGCCAGCTGCCGGAAATCAATCAGCCTACTTCGCCGTCGGAGCCTACAACAACCCGGCCGCAACTGGTGGAGCCCCTCAAGCCACCCCTATGCCTGCAGCACCAGCACCAGCACCAACCAGTGGAGGAGGAGCTTCAACGATGACAGCTGTGGGAGGAGGTAAATTTGGTGATTCTTTTTATTGTATTTAATTTTGTTTAAATCTAACTTTTTAATTTTGTTTTTTACAGTGCCACCACCCAGCAGCGGACAATCGACGATGGCTGCGGCGGGTGGATTGCCGATGACTGGGAGGCCGTTCAACAATGACTGCTGTTGGTCCAGGTTTGTTATTTTCCCTTGTTCATTCTTATCTTCATTCATTTCTCAGTTACCCCAGCTGACGGAGGTGGCCGCTCGACGATGACAGCTCTTGGTGCCGTTCCTCCTGGAGGTGAACGCTCGACGATGACCGCTGTTGGAGGACCCGTTGCTAGTGGTGGAAAATCCACGATGACGGCAGTTGGAGGTGGTAAAATTTTATCTTATGGCCTAAATTATTGAATACTTTTAGCATCGATGGCCCCTCAATCGACAATGACTGCTGTGGGAGGAGTACCAATGGCAGGACCTCGCTCGACAATGACTGCTGTGGGAGGAGCCCCGCCTGGTGGACATTCGACAATGACAGCCGTGGGAGGTAGTGTTAGCTTTTTGCATTTACCTATTTAAGTTCCCCTCTTTTATATTCTATTTTAGCACCGATGACTGTGGGAGGAGTACCGATGGCAGGACCCCGCTCGACGATGACAGCTGTTGGTGGAGCCCCGCCTGGTGGACAGTCGACGATGACAGCCTTGAGAGGAGGTAGTTAGCTTTTTGCATTTACTTTCTTAAGTTGCCCTCTTTTATATTCTATTTTAGCACCGATGGCCCCCCAATCAACAATGACCGCTGTTGGAGGACCCGTTGCTGATGGTAGGCAATCGACGATGACCGCCGTTGGAGGTAATGATTCTATTATTGATTTCGTGAACTTTTGATTTTAGGACCCACTAGAGTCCCCGGAGGACAATCGACCATGACAGCTGTTGGACACGCAGGCGGTGGAGTAGGAGCACCCGGTGGAGGTTTGTTCGTGTTTTCTTATTTGTTTTATTTTGCGTTTAGCTCCCAAGATGGTTGAAGCCCCAGTTCCTGCAACGGGCCCTGGTGGGGGAGCAGCTACGTCGGCCTACTTCGCTGCGCCTGGTCAAGCAACGGGAGGTGGCGCACAATCGGCATACTTCGGAGTTGGTGGAGGAGGCACCGCAACTAAGGTAAGTATATTGAAATGGTTATCTAAAAAAACTTTTAAACGCAACTCATTATTTTTATTTAGACTGGTGGTGGTGAAAATCCCATTCCTGGACAATCGGCCTATTTCGCAGTCGGTGGATCGGGTGGAGCAGACGCTGGCACGACTTCGGGATACTTCTCTCCACACAAATAAGCTCGCCAATCAAGCATCGTTCCCTCAAGCAAGAGCCCAAATTTATTGCAATCGCTTCTATGTAACTTTTGAATATGGGCCGTTTGTAATAAACATTAAACGTATTTGCGTGTAATAAACAAAATAAACAAATGCCTGGTTGTTTGGTAGAAAAGAAAGATAAAACACAACTTATACAAACTCACTTAAAACACTTGCGCTAAAACAAATACTGCAAAAAAAACTATCAGCTTATCATATTATCTAACCAGTAACAGATATCAAAAAAATAGATAAATTACTCTCCTCATGGTATACTCTCTTCCCCGGGATCTTCATTCATTTGTTCCTCATCTAATTCAGGTATAGCAAATCTAAACTACAAAATAACGAAATTTGATTTAACATAAAATTTTATCAACTAAAATGACCTCAGTATCACAGCAAATGCTGTAAGTAAAGCCAGCCGCTCTCCGTTGACGTGCATAGATGAGAAGATTAGCACATTTGCTCCCTAAATGTGGTATATTATGTATACAACTATATAAAGTTTTCCCGCGCATTTTCAACAAGCTTGACATATCTTTTCCTTGTGATATCTTGTGATCGAAAAAGCAAAAAAGCTATCAACAAGGTTTCAATGGCTTGCTCGGCGTTAGCACCGGCTACATGTCTAAAATTAAAAAATAAACACAAAGTCAAATCAAAGACGAACTCACTTGTAACCATAATAAGCGCGATCTGGTTCAGTCGACATGTATTCGAAAAATTGTTTTAATGCTTTGACCACTCCTTGAGCCTAAACAACCGATAAAAACAATTCCTATACAAAAATTACCTGTGTATCAGTCAACCATGCAGCGATATTCGGATCTTCCAAAACCTCTTTCAGCGAATGTTTAAAACCACTCAATGAATGCGCGCGTAAAAACTTTCCCTAAACAAAGGAATTTCATCGAATCTACCTTTTGTTCTGCAGTAAACTTCTTGCCTTGATTATCAGCACATGCGATCAAGTGATCCATAAATTGCTGATTAAGAAAACCTCTCGAAGCTATCAAATAACATTTTACAATCTAAAGTTATTTTCTCTTAAAGGAAAATATCCGGCAACGCACTTTGAAATCCACATGTTTCAGAAATGCTGCTGTAGCATCCAAAAATCGAATTATTCCCCTTTTATGCTGTGACGTGAAACCCTTCCTCTTTCTTGGGATCTAAAGATTTTTTTGAAAAAGATAGAAGAATATGCGCCACATCTGCATATCAATTTTCGACAATTGTCATGGCGGGTGTAAGAAGACAGACGTGAGCAAGATCCTCGTGCAGCACAACCGCTGCCACATCGACTTCTGTGGTTGGATCGAGTGCAGCGTCTAACCTTTCTAAACATCTTTTATTACTCTAAAGTCTCATAACAATTTCTACCTAGATCAATCGAATCTCATTCAACTTTCGTTAGCGTAAATTTCCTGGGAGGTTCCAAATCGAGCGTGTGATAGGCTCCAAGCTTGACGAGATCATGTTCTTCGGACGTTTTGGAAGTAATGTCTCGGAATCGTCTAAGTTTCAAAAAATCAATCTTCAAAACAAAAAAATAAAGAGCGAAAATTGTTTTGCTCATTACTTCCTTTTTAATCGAGTGATTTGCACAACTAAGTTTGCATTTTAAAGTTAAATAGTTTTCTTTCCCTTAGTTTCTTTTAAGTTTATCATTTTCTCCTCTCCACTTCAGAAATGACGGCTCAAGTCTCGCAAGAAGTCATCAAGAAGCTTGACGAAGGACAAGCCAAATTGCAGGTGATTTTTTGAATTTTGTTGTTTATTTTTGGTAACTTTATTTTGCTTGTTTTAACGTTCCGGGGCTAAATAATTGATTTAGGGCGCCGCCGATTGCAAGTCGCTGTTGAAGAAACACTTCACAAAGGCCGTTCTTCAAGCGAACAAAGTAGGTTTTGCTAGTTTTGTGTTGTGGTGCTAATAGAGCTATTTTAAACCTTGTTTAGTGGAAGAAGACGAAACTTGGTGGCACGTTGTTGGACTGCGTGCAATCGGGAGTCGAAAATCTCGACTCGGGAGTAGGTGAGCCATTTGTTGTGTTGTACTTTTGCAAGTGTTCCTTGGTCTTTGAAAACTTTTCTTTTTAGGCGTCTACGCCCCCGATGCTGAGGCCTACACTCTGTTCGCCGATCTCTTCAATCCAATCATTGATGAATACCACAATGGATTCAAGCCCTCCGACAAGCAACCCGACATGGATCTCGGCGAAAAGAAAATTGGGGTGAACTGTTTTGTGTGCAACTTGAGTTAAGTATTCTTTAGGATTTGGTCGATTTGGATCCCGAAGGAAAGTTCATTGTGTCAACTCGTATTCGCTGTGGTCGCTCACTTGCTGGGTAGAATTAAAGTTTCCAGCAATTAATTTTACTCTTTTAGTTATCCGTTCAACCCTTGCCTCACCGAGCTCAATTATAAGAACATGGAAGCCCGCATGAAGGTCAGAAGTTTTACCGTCCTTTTGTCAATATCTGTTTTAGACCATTCTTGAGGGAATCAGCGATGCCGACTTGAAGGGCACCTACTACCCATTGACTGGAATGAGCAAGGAAGTGCAAACGCAACTGATCGCTGACCATTTTCTCTTCAAGGAGGGCGATCGTTTCCTTCAGGTATGATTGTTTTTGGATTCAGTTTATAATGACTAGTTAGTGTTAGTTGTAATCTGTTTCAACAATAGACTAGCTTTATAAACTCGGTTTTGTTACATTCTTTTTTTAGGCAGCTAACGCAAATCGTTTCTGGCCCACTGGACGAGGAATTTTCCACAACGAGGAAAAGTCGTTCCTTGTTTGGGTCAACGAGGAGGACCATCTCCGGTATTTCTATGTCTTGTTACTGTTATCAATCATGGATTTTAGAATCATCTCGATGCAGCCGGGTGGCAATGTCGGACAAGTGTTGGAACGTTTGATCAAGGGACTTAAGGTTTGTTTTATCATTTGTTTGCGCTTTTGCTTAAGTACAACGATTGTGTTGTTTAGCTCATCGCCGAAAAATCTCCATTCGCCCGCCATCCTCGTCTCGGCTGGCTGACTTTCTGCCCAACGAATCTCGGTACCACCGTGCGCGCAAGTGTTCACATCAAGCTTCCAAAGATCTCGGCTAACAAGGTTTGTTTATTGGCAGTTGCTTTTTGCATAATTTTTGTTTAGGAGGAGTTTGAGAAGGTATGTGAGGAGATGAAGCTCCAAATCCGCGGAATTCACGGTGAGCATTCGGAGAGCGATGCTGGAGTTTATGACATCTCAAACAAACAACGCCTCGGGCTTACTGAGTGAGTAATTTTATAATGGCTGTAAAGAGGATTTAAAGCAGAGTTAGTTACTAAGCATTCGGGTTTTGACCATCATTGTGATTTAAACTTGTAAAACTTGGCTATGCTAAATTCTTTGTTTCAGGTACGAAGCCGTTCGCCAGATGTACGACGGTGTGAAGAAGTTGATCGAATTAGAGAAGGCCAAGGCTTAAGCGCCTCACATTGGGCCAACATTTCTCATAAAAATATTTGAGGCACAAGGCACAATTTTCTCTTGATCCTTTCAGCTCAATAAATTGTTGTTCGAGCCGTTTGGTGTCTTTTAGCAAACAATACTTGATACACAATCAAGCGATATATTTGAGTTGGTTTGATGGGTTCATATCAGAGACAGTGCAATGCATAGACAGAGGGCAAATAAAAGACAAAAAGTATCGTCTCGAGAGTGATCTCAGCGTGATCGGAGAGTTGAGAGGTCAACTTTTTCTTCAATTTTGTGTGAATTGGTGCCACTTCTTTGTGTTTGTGTTTCTTTATTTGTTTGTTTGCAAAGAGATTGGAGAGATTCCAAAAATTGCAGAAATAATTTTAGCGTGACAAATGGAATATTTTAATCTCGTATCAGCTTTTCTCATTACCTATAAGCACATGAGCTCAATAACTACCGTAATCTTTTGCTCAGATTTTGCCCGGTTTACTTACATAACAACTTTTAACTTGAAAGAACCCATTAAATGAAGAATCAAGGCGTGTAAAGATTACGGTAGAAAAGCTAAAGGAAAGATTACGGTAGTTGACCGAATTACCCAGCTTTTAGAAAACGCATCACTTGTGAGGGGCAAACTCTTTTCGCAGCACTCTAGTTGGGTTGCTTTGTTCGTCCAAAATTCACCATCATTTCTCGATTAGCTTATGTGCCCGGTTATGGCCACGAATGAATGAAAGCGCCAAAGAGAACCCGTTATTGCTTGGAGAAAGGAAAAAAACGTCTTCATGGATGTTTCTTTTCAGTGTATTCTAAGTACACGTGTGCGGGAAATAACCACGGGCATTAATTCTTACGGAGTTGCCAAACGCAAGCGTTTACGCGCAAAGGTAAACATTTCAGATAAATCTGGTGGAATATTTCATAAATTTATTGATAAAGCTAGCTGCTTTTTGGGCATGTTTTTTTTCTGGATAATACCATTGATAGTGACTTACCGACCTTTAACTTCTTTAGTTTAAAACTTCTAAATATAAGTGTAATAGACTATGTTTCTTTTGAATGAGGCATTCAAGTATAAAGCATTTTCTAAAACGTGTCCTTTGTCTCCATTTGTCTAACTTAACGTCACTTGCGCTGTGGTACTGTAGCTGCTATAGTACTAACCGGGGTACGGTATCTTTTTGATGCTTTTATCTTTCTCCACATCTATTCTCGCATCAGAACCTCGTCTAGTATAAAGCGTTTTCTAAAAGGTTTCCCCTTTCTCTTTCTACCGTAATCTTCTCTCCATTTTTTTATCCCATCATCTACTTTTGATTCTAATTCTGTGAGGGTTTACAAAGGATATCGAAAGAGACAAAAAAATAGGAGACAAGATTACGGTAATCGAGAAAGTTGACACGTTTTAGAAAATGCTTTAACTCTATCAGTGGAAATGATTGTGGAAAACTTATCGAGTTGGTCATAGCTGGAAGAACCGAGATGACCGTGAAGAATCAAAGGAAAAAAAAAACGAGTTCTTGTTTGTGCAATGCATGAAAAGGAATGCTTTTGACACGGCTTTTCTATGCTTTTTCCTTTCCCTTCATTTTTCTTTTCAGAGTTGCCTGTTCTTGAAAGACCTGTTGAATGCAATGACCGGGCCATCCATTCATTCCCCTTTTGAAAAGACGCGTCACTCTTTGTTCTCTGAATACCGATTGCGTGACTCTAGCCTGAGTTTTGGATGATCATAATCGCTGCTTCTTCTTCTTCTTTTTCTTCATCGTTTTCTTCATCGTTTTCTTCCAAATCTAGTCGACTTTGTCGAGAAAAACGGCGTGTGAACAAGCTTATTCGACGTCTAGTCTTTGGTGTTTGTCAGTCAACTACGATCTATCATTTGGTTGTAGTTTTAGTGAAGCTTTGACAATGATAAAAGACTACAAATGTAAAGTTTACTTTTGGAAGACGACTTAGGATGTTGAACAAGTTGAAACAAGTTGAAGAAGTCTCAAAAGAAGCCCAATTGAATGTAGAGTTCAGTGCCTAGTCACAGTCTTTAGTTTAAAACTTCTAAATATAAGTGCAATAGACTATGTTTCTTTTGAATGAGACATTAAAGTATAAAGCAGTGTAGGATTCAGTTTTTAAACGACTTCGTCGATCGACTACCGTCTATTACTCGATCATAAGCATACTGTGCTTCACTGGAGCAAAGCGTTTTCTAAAAGATGATCTCATGATAGATATCGTATGAAAGGCAGGCGCATGGGTTAAATATAAAAACACGATATATGCCAGCATCTTTTACCAGCTTTTGCCAGCATCTTTTACAAGAATCAAACTGATCCATCGATAAACACGGATGATTTTGATTTTTTTTTTATAATTCTCATTTCGAGTACGGAATTTTGAAAGAAATTCAGGCAAACAGGCCGAATTGTAAACCTTTTTTTAGATGCAAATGAACTATCGTATTAAAAAATGAGTGCTTGAGTGATGTAAGGCCAAAAAATGCAAATCCAGATCAAATTTCGATTATATAAGCATTTCATTGTTAAACTTGTGAACTTTTCTCAACTTTCTGAAAAAGTCTGAAAAAAAGAGTCCTTTTCACTTTTCACGAGTCCGCCTCTTTTTCCGCGAGTCCGGAAGAGAAATATTAGGCAAATAGTCGAGACAGAGATGGAAAAAGTTCTAGAGAACATTCTCCAGACTTTGCTAGAGAAATAGAAAAATTCTAATCAAAATTAAAGAGAACAGGTCTTGCAACTTCTGTGCAGGAATCTGGGCGTGGGCAATTGCTTCAGCTTTGGCTATATAATGCCCACTCACTCACTCCGACTCCATTGAAAGCCACCAATTCACTTATTATTCAAACAATGATGAAAATGTAAGCGTTTGTGGGAGTATTTTAAAGTTAAGAAATGATTTTGATAGTGAGAGCTTGAGATTATTGCTTTTCGCTCCCGGCTTTATGCCTTTTTTTGAAACTTGAAATTTTCAGGAAACACGGGTTTTTTTTAATTGTTAGATTTAAGACTCAAGAATAGTTAACAATGTTTAAAATTAACTATTAGATCTATTTTTTTGATTCATTAGCAACTCTGGACTTGGCCTTGTTGATTCAATACTGATTTTTGTTTAAAAATTGAATCTTTTATTGGCTATAGTGGTTACATTAGTCTTAGAATTGCTTGAAAGAAGATTTAATTGAACTCCTTTTAAACAATTGTTTAATCTTAAACTTATAATTCAAACAATGATGAAAATGTAAGCTTTTGTGGGAATATTTTAAAATTAACAAGTGATTTTGATAGCGAGAGCTTGAGATTATTGCTTCGCCCCGGCTTTGTTTTTGAACTTGAATTTTCTGTTTTTTTTGTTGTTTGGACCAAGAATAGTTAACAATGTTTAAAATTAACTATTAGATCTATTTTTTGATTCATTAGCAACTCTGGACTTGGCCTTGTTGATTCAATACTGATTTTTGTTTAAAAATTGAATCCTTTATTGGCTATAGTGGTTACAGTAGTCTTAGAATTGTTTAAAAGAAGGTTTAATTGAACTAGTTTTAAAAAATTGTTTAATAGTTTTAATAGTTTTTATTTAGTTTTAATATTTAGGCTTTTTTGAGAAGCAAAACAAGTTTTAAAAGCTTTTTTCTATTACATTGTTGTATTTTTCCTCTATTTAATTGGTTCTTTTTGAAAAATGCGCTTTTCTAAGAGCTTTTACTTTTTAGTTTCAGCAAATTTACATGAAAATAAACGAAAAATAACTTTATCACATTGAAAATTAGCATACTTGATTGAAAAAAAGTAATCTTATTCAATTCCAGAACAATTTTCGTTGCCCTCTTCGCGACAGCTTCAGCTCAATTGGCCGCGGTTTGTTTTTTTGTAAAAGATTATAACTAAAAAGTATTAAACAAATTGTACTGTTTTTAGATTTTGTTTTTTAGAACATCATTTACCTTTGTCATTTCAGTGGCCAGCCTCTTCCTACTCTCCGTTTTTCGAGAGTCTCTTCGCAGCTGCCCGAACGCCGGTCAACGCGATCCCGGCTAGGGATTCAGCTCTCCCAGCTCCGCCACAGGCGCCAATTGCTCAACCAGTGAGTAGTAATAGCTAAAAATGTACTATTTATTCATTACTATTACAAAAACACTTGTAGATGTCAGAAGAATTGAGTATCAAATAGGTAAATGAGTTTAGGAGAGTAGAACTGGAACTGGAACTGGAACTAGTACTGGAACTAGTACTAGAACTGGAACTGGAACTAGTACTGGAACTAGTACTAGAACTGGTACTGGAACTAGTACTGGAACTGGTACTGGAACTAGTACTGGAACTGGAACTGGAACTAGTACTGGAACTAGTACTGGAACTAGTACTGGAACTAGTACTGGAATTGGTACTGGAACTGGTAATTACTGGTCTACCAGTCAGTAGCAATAGTTAGAAGCGCTCAAAAATCAACCGAGCCTAATCCAAAGTAATTCTAAAGTGGATATTCTTTTTAGCTCAAAATTTACAATAGAGACTAGTCATTAAGCAAGCTAGTTTTACATTGAACGCGCATAACTTGAAACTTTCTTTTTAAAATGTTACTTTTTGAGTAATTTCTGGAATCCAGTCAGATTTTAATAGCTTTATCAGTCTTATAAATTATTAAGCTTTGAAAGTTGAGTTGTAAATGATTTAAACTCTCGAGCTTTTTTTCCAGTACTTGGTCCCTCCACCACCGCCAGTCTTCGCCGCCCCAGTTGCCCCGGTATTGGCCGCGCCACGACCCATGGTTAGTTTTGATGATAAATTTGATGAATTTTGACATCTTTCATATGGTTTTCATATCTAGAGATGATAAATTGATATAGAAACGGTTTTTTATGGAACTTTTAAAGCTATTAACTGATAGCTTCTTTAAACCACTTGATTGAAGAATATTTTCCAGTTTGCCGCTCCTTTCTACGCTCCACCACCAGTTCCTATGATGGCCCCCGCTCCAGTAAGGGGTTTTTGAATAGGAAATGGATCTGCCTAGCAAAAAGATCTAATAGAAGGTTTTAAAAAAGAGATTCAGACTGAGATTGTAAGAGTTATGATTAACAGTAAGAATGAAATGGGCTAAATTAGAGCAAATCTATTGTAAGCTTAAAAAAAGGCGTTTTACTTTGTTGAGAAAAGAAGTTAATGGTTTTTTTTTTCGTTTTTTATACTTTATTAGACTTTATTATACTTTATTAGATATTAGATATTATTAGATTTATTAGATTTCTACTTGATATTTTCAGATGATGGCTCGCCCGGTTTTGGCGGCTCCCGCTTTGGCACCAGCTCCCCTCTATGCGCCATCACCCGTAAGTTCTGAAAATGATTTTTTTTTTAAAACTTTGGTACAATATTTGAATTGGATTAGAACGTAGAAACCCAATTTGGAGAAATGTTTGAAGCAATTACTTTAAATATTCCAAAATCCAGATCTACGCGGCGCCGACTCCATTCTTGGCCTCTCCACCACTTCCATACGCTGCCCCGGTGAGTTTGGGCTTTTAAGAAAAATCCATTATTAAGTCAAATGCACAAATTTTATTACTACAAGTAAAAAGCTAATGGACTAGGAAGGGAAAAAACCGAGTTTCAATTCAAGCGGCTTAAAGAAGCAAAGCCTTAGACCAACCTCCGCCCTTTTCCTCTTGGGATCTTTCCCTCTCCCTTGTTCAAGAGATATTCAGGCTTTATATAGCTGTATTTTTATAGGTATATCTATTATTTGGATGTCTATTTGATTTATCTGATATATGTTTTTGATATTCAGTTATTGACGGCACCCCGCGTCGTCCCTGCTTATGCCCCATTCGCCCGAGCTGCCTACTATTTTGGCTCGAATCGGGGACGAGTTTAAAGGTGAGTTATGAAAAAAAAGATATTCAGCTGAAGGGTTGTATTTTAAAAACGTTCCTATAATAATCCACATCAGCCAGTTTTCCTTTTCATTAGCTCAATTTTGGTATGATTGACTTGAGTCTTGTAATTCCTCAATCTCCTCAATCGGGCTGATCAAATGGAGACTGCCGGCTTGGTCACAGTGGTTTCATAAAATAGAATTTAGAAAACGCATTAGTCAGATGATTCAATCACTTCATTTTTTTAGATGATTCAATCACTTCAATGGCTTTTCAAAAACACACATACAAATAAAAAAAAACGAATCTCCTCAGCGACACTCACTCGTAATTTATTGAAACGCTCAATATTTTGCCGATTCTTTCATTTTTTCTTCCCTTTTATTGGTTTACTTGTTGCCAATTTGCTCACAAATTGTCTGTACAATAAGGGTGCGAATAAACGATTACGATTACTTACTTAAACGATTACTTACTTAAACGATTACTTACTCAAACGATTACTTACTTAAACGATTACTTACTTAAACGATTACCTACTTAAATGACTACTTTACTTACTTAAACGATTACTTTACTTACTTAAACGATTACGATTACTTAAACGATTTTAAAACTAAATGACTTTACAATTTAATAACTATCAATTCATTTTTCTGTTTTAAAAAGTTTAGTTTTAATGTCTGCCCGGTCACAAATGCACTTCTTTGGAGAATTTCGATATGTTGGTTTGTACCAGAAATTTTCCAAATTGATTATGGGCCAGTTGGGCAGGCAAGACTGTGTGTTCAGTGTTCAGTGGCAGTATGTTCCTCGCGAGTAAGTAAATACTCGAGTGAATTTGCATGAGTCATTTTTTACTCGAGTATTTGTCGAGTAATGCGTTTTCTAAAAAGTGCGCCTGTGCGAAAAAAGATAAAAGCAATTTCCTGCTGAGGTTTTTCAAAAAAAAAAAATCATTTTTTACATTGGAAGGGAATTTCCCACCAAATCGGTTGAGTATCTTTAGTTAAACGGCTGAGTATCTTTAAAAAGTGTCGTATATAATGCGGGGCTCATCATTTTTGTGTCATTTTTTTGCAATAATTTTTGCTAAAAGTACACTAATTTTTTCCCAAGTGGGCCTTTTAAAAAAACGCATTACTCGCGAGGGACACACTCTAGCTCCGAGTGTGATTTTGGAGACATTAAAGGGGAAAAGATAAATGTTTTGGGAGTGGCTGTAACTGTCAATGTCAATAATTGTCTTTTTGGTTCCAATATGGTTCCTATGGCTCCAATATGGTTCCAATATGGTTCCAAAATGGCTCCAATATGGTTCTATGGTTTCAATATGGTTCCAATATGGTTCCAAAATGGTTCTATGGTTCCAATATGGTTCTATGGTTCCAATATGGTTCACTCATCACACTCTAGACAAGACTATGATCATCAATCCATATAGCGTGCTCATTCATATCAATACATTGATAGAGCTTTTGAATCTGAAAATGTTTTCGAGAAAGTTTTTTGTCTGTTTGGCGTTGCTTGGTCCTTTGAAACACTTCTGCTAGCACTCAAAGATTTCAAAGATTTTGTGTTTCAAGATAATCGACTCCAAAACTCCAAAAGTGAACAAGGTAATCGAAGAGCATCAAGACAATATCTAGATAAGTTTAGAATTCCCTGTAATCTTTAAACTTGAGCTTCAAAATGAGCAAGCAAGCTGGGCAAGTGGACTTTTTTTCTTCAATCCATTTTTTAAAAAGAATCAAAATCTGTAAGTTTAAAATATCGGCTTGTTGTAAATCAGCTAATCAGCTAATGATTGTAAATCAGCTATTCGTTAGCTGTTTAGCTAGATTTCAGCTTTTTGCTTCTCGTAAGCGTAAATAAGCGACTTCAAAGTAAATGAAGCAATTGATTAAATCTTTGAAAGCTTTAAAAGTTGTTGTTGAAGTTGAAAAGAAACAATTCTCCTATTTCATTAAGTTCTAAAGGAAGTTCAAAGCCGTACTTTGTTTTTTTTTTTATCAATGAATCTAGTATTAGGTTGTCCGGAAATAAATGAGCGTTTTGTATTGTTTATTATTTGGGTACATTTTTCTTAATAAAGTATGCTCTGTACCTTGTAATTTTATATACCATTGGAAAGCTGAGTTCGTGCTCTCTTTAACCATACTTTTAATAGAAGCAAGATTTACAGATTTTCCGCAATGATTCACTGAATCGTTTTCACTTGACGCAAATCTTTTCGGATTGTTCAGAGAGACGGAAAATCGAAGTTTCAATGCTAAAATTTCCAAACAATTATCAACAATTCCTTTAGAAAAAAAGTTTACCAAATTGCCGAAATTCTTCTACGATTTGGGCAAATTTACCATTTTCTTAAGTAAATTTCGCTAAGAAATGTTTCTTTCTTTGTTTCTTTCTTTGTTTCTTTCTTTTTTTCCGAAACTTATCCCACTCCTTGGTGACACTGGATAAACAGTGAAGAAGAAAAAATGAAGGAAAAAAAACCGGGTTTCTCCACTTTTTTTTCTATCATTTCTTGCATTGGTGCCCGGGGTTTTTGACACATTTTCTTTTGTCTGTTTGGGGTAAATATTTGACCCACACAAAGTGGAGTACAAAAAGGTGAGAAGAATTTGAAATGCATGATTAGTTGCCTAATTTTTCTCAACGCTTTTTCAAAGATGAGAGCGATTTGGTAAGTTTACTATTTGGTAGCTTTTTGATAGCTATTTGGTAGCTATTTGATAAGCATTTTTTGAAACCTAAGCAATTGATTGAAGAATATTCAATCAATTGCTTAGGTTTGCTTATCAAAATCAAATTCTCCCGTATTCATTAATCCATTTTCTAAAATGTTTCCTTTTTGTATCTAAAATGTTTCTTTCTTTCGATATCCTTTGAACAAAAGTAGATGGATTGGATAAAATTAGAGACAAGATTACGATAGAAAGAGAAAGGGGAAACGTTTTAGAAAAAAAACATTAAGATCTGATTAAGACATTAAGACATTAATAATCTAGCTACCGTAATCTTGCCTTTTTTAGAAATGAAAACTAAAAACAAAAACAACTAAATCAATCATCATAATCCATTAAGTAATACAAGCTATTCAAAATTAATTATAAGCTATCTTAAACTTTCAGCTGCCTTTTCTCAATCTTCACCATCTCATCGGCTCAACTGGCTGCTTGGCCTGCTACCTCGTACTCTCCATTCTATCAATCCCTTTTCGGACCCGCTTTGGCTACTGTTGCTGCTGAGCCTGTGGTAAGAAAAAAGGAATTTTAAATTTGAATTAGTCCACATCAATATTGGGTGAGGGATTTGAATGCCAACATATGGAAACGCGACTAGTAGCGAAAGTATCCTCTTCACTTTACTTCTTTTGAAACATTCATTTCCAGATGGCCGCCCCGGCACCCGTCTATGCGCCACCGGCCTATGCTCCGGTAAATTTTCAGATATATTTCTTTTATAATCTTATTGATAAGCTTTTCTTATAGATTTTAAATCTCTATCAAGCTTTAATCAAGTATCAAGGCATCAACCTAATAATTGCAAAGCTTGTTTAAAAATCGATTCCGAAATCAATTTTCAAATTTTCCATCATTTCAGGTTCCCGCCGTTGCGCCAGCTCCCGTCCCAGCCTATGCTCCCGTAATTACATCGATTTTATTTCTATAAAATTTAAAAAACTAAGTAGTATTTTGAAAACAAAGCTTGGAGTTTGAGTTTGAGTTTGATATCAATTTTTTGGAAATCAGTCATTACAGGTGCCCGCCGTCGCCCCAGCTCCCGCTTATGCCCCAGCTCCCGCTTATGCCCGAGCGGTGAGCGTTTTTTTTAAAAACTCTAGTGATTCTGCAAAATATTGCTGAATTTTATAGAATTTCTTAATAAAGCATTCTGTGGTAATCAGTAGTCAGTAATCAGTAATCAGTAGTCAGTAATCAGTAATCAGTAATCAGCAATCAGTAATCAGTAATCAGTAAAGCAATAAAGCATAAAGCAATAAAGCAAATGAAAAATTCTGCGATTACAATGTAATATTTTTATGTTATTTTTATGTTATATAATGTTTCTTTTTCAGAAAAAGGCTTATTTAGGTTGAAAAGATTTCGAATCGTTCACCTAGCAAAACTTATTGCGTCCTGCATTTTGCGACGCACGTATTTAATATAAAATTTAATTTGAAATTTGCAAATTGATGAATCTGGGCCCTAGGTTTATTGCAAATGAAAAATGACCCATGCTTTCCCACATTGGTAACTTGTTAGCTTAAAAACTCATTCATATTATTTTCAGTTCGCCGTAGCTGAGCCCGTTCTCGCCGCGCCTCCACCACCACCATACAGTAAGTTTTTTCTTCTGAAGAAATTTTATAGGTTTCAATTTTGACGCCTTAAAGACGTCTGTTGATGAATAGCTGGGAAACTGATAAAAAAATGGCATCAAATTTTTATGTAAAGCGAACAAGTTAGGAGATCAATTGTTTAGAAAATGAATCCAATCACAATTTTTAGCTGGCCCAGTGGCTGCCCTGGCCCCACCGGTTCCCGTCGGCGTCGCTGCACCGCCAGTTGTATGTTCATGTTATTTTTATTAGCAAATTCATCAGTAATTGTATACCTTCCTTCCTAACAAATTCTCGTATGCATTTCAAGTTTGATTCAACGAATTTTGAAACTTCATTTTTTCCAGGTGGCCGCCGCTCCACCAGCTTTCGCAGCCCCAGCCCCAGCTCCAGCGGTAAGTCAAAAATTCTTGAACTTAAATCAACTGCAACAAGTAAATTAATGACAAGTTAGAACACTAAAAAAGTAAATTCTAAAGATATTAAAGCAATTTAATTGCTTTAACCCTTCATTGATTGGTAGCAAAATGATGTCTACTTGATTCCATTCCGGTATACTGTAGTTAGACAAGATTGGGCGTTTACAGTCTTGTTCAGTACTTGACCATTAAACCATTCTTTATCAAATCAACTTCAGCTCATGCCAGCCTATGCCCCATTGAGATCACCAGCCTATTTCGGATACATTGGAGCGAACAAAGCGAAGAAAAATTAAAAGTTTCGAATTCTAGGGAAAAGATCTCAACTCGTTTTTTTCTAATTTTCACTGTTTGTACAGTTTGCTTAAAGCCTCCATTGCTCAATAAAATTTCGAGTTTCATATGTTCATTGGTTTATTTCTGAAAGATCAAGAAAAATGGAGACAAAGTTACCTAAACGTCATGTAGAATAACATATGAAATCAACTAATTGATTGAAAATTCGAGGAAGTTATATAAAATTGAAACATATCTTTTCTACTCAATCATCCATGTTCATTCGAAGAATGTCTCGTGCTTGTTGATTGTCCTCTTGTTCTTTCGATTTCTTGTCCCGATCGGCGGCTTGTCTGAAAGTATTATTTTTGATTATTTTGAGATAGCTGGGAAATGTCTAATTTATTTCAAAAGTGGCAAGTGTTATATCGAGAATTGTAGCCCTAGTTCACGGCAACATTTATCTAGCAAAAACTTCCCGATTGGACTTATACAACTCATTTAACAAGCGCTTGAATCAGCGCTAGTCGACATCTCTCCGGCGAATCTGTTATTTGGCCGCTTTTCTCGATTAGAAATTGTTAAGAAAAGCTTTCCAATATTTCTTCAATGCAAAAATCGCGTTTAATATCACTTAATAACATTAAGAATCACACTTAACTTTTTCGGCTGTTTAACATTTTTAGTAGAGAAAAGCGGCCAAATAACAGATTCGCCGGAGAGATGTCGACTAGCGCTCATTCAAGCGCTTGTTAAATGAGTTGTATAAGTCCAATCGGGAAGTTTTTGCTAGATAAATGTCGCCGATAAACTAAGGCTACAATTCTCGATATAACACTTGCCACTTTTGAAATAAATTAGACATTTCCCAGCTACTTTTCCATAAAAGTTGTCGCTATAATTCGCAGTCATGTTGCTTTCCCTGTATATCGCCAGCATAAGTTATTCATTGGCTTATAGAATTCACAGATTTGAAAGATTAGCTTTAATTTTTAAGTTTCAAAATTATTTGCCTTCCATTTGTGGGAAGAGAACGCAATCGGTATTTGATCGAGGGTTCAGAAATAAAACTTTAGATTTTAGTTGCTTTTCGACGGTTTTTGGGGTAGGCTAATTCCCGCAAATTTTTTTTGCGCAACTGGGTCGTTTGCGCAACTCGTGGGCCAATCTTTATGACTTTGGTTTCATTTTGTTGCACTTATTGAGATCTACAAAATGGCACCACAATCATAAAGATTGGTCCACTTAGAAGAAAGTTATGGCGAGTTGCGCAAACGATCCAGTTGCGCAAATGACCCAGTTTCCGCAAAAAAATGCGGAAATTAGCCTACCCCGTTTTTTTCAAAATGTATCAACTTTCAAAAAACTATCATAACGATGCCAAATTTGACTTTTCATTCACTCACTTTCCTATCTTTGTAACTTATTTGATATCCTTTGTGCGCTCTCACTCAGATAAGTTTAGTAAAACCAGAGGCCAACAGTGGTTTTTGAAAGTTGACAGGTTTTAAAAAAATTAGCAGCTCTAAAAAATGCAAGACCAATGGAAAAAAAGTGAAATACCCTAAAACTGCCAAAAAAAACTTTCTTAAACCCTAAAACGTGTCCATTACCGTACCCCATCTAAAACGTCTAGACTAAAACGTGCACTTTCCCAAGCGGCGCAAATTTTTTCATTTCATTTTCATTCGCCATTCTTTCATTTTCTACCCCCCTGGCTCTTGATTAAATTCATTTATCTGCTTATTTTGTGTGCCGATACTAAAACTCTTGGCTTTCCAATTTGAATTGCGCGTAAATTTTCTGAGTTATGCATGTCTTTTAGTCCAGTTTGCTTTTTAAAAGGCCTTTTTGTGGTTTAGGTAAATCGCACACAGCCTTAGAAAGTGCTACAGTCTTTCAGTTCATCTTGTATCGAAGCAATTTAGTGTCAAATATACCACACTTTCCCCAACTTCTCTTCAAACTCCTTCCCAATTTATCGTTTAACATAGTCTTGTAGCTCTCGAAACTTTGCCATTGGTTTTCTTAGTATGTTTATTGCTGAAGTCAATTGTTTTTCTTTTAGAACTCGTCGCGATGCCTACCGTTCTAGCTGTTCAATGCTCTTACCCTTCAGCTAAGTTGACTATGAAAGCACTGAAGAAGGCAAAGGCTATCGTTAATTATTCGTACTAAATCTTATTATTTTAGAAAGCCCTCGACCATCCCGCTTACGCCGATATGGTCATGGCTTCAATCAGCGCGCTGGCTGAGCGCAAAGGGTCTTCGAGGGTTGCTATCCTCAACTACGTTCTTCAAAACTACAACGTTGGAGATGACAGCAAGAAGGTGTTTTGTTACTTAAAATTATTCATTGTTACTCGAACTTCAATGGTCTCATATGTTCAATATGTAACCTGGTTTGAATTTTTTATAGAGATAGAGAAAATAAAAACTGAATTATTGGATTTCTTTAGGTGAACTTGCACGTGAACAACAATTTGAAGAAGGGAGCTGACACGGGACTTTTGGTGCGCGTGTCGGGCGTTGGTGCTAATGGAAGATTCCGCCTTGGAGAAGCCGCAAAAGCTCCCAACAAGAAAGTTGCAAAGACTTCCGCCAGATCGCCAAAGAAAGCTACCATCACCAAGTTGTCGAAGAAGGTCGTGGGAAAGAAGATTGCAGTTGAAAATAAGGTATGGATTCTTTTAAACGCTAAAGACATCAATGTTAAAGTTGAATTGCGCGCTGTGTAGCTAAAATAGTTCAAGGTCATGCAAATAGCAGTGGTAGTTTTACTATATTCCTCTCAATTTAATGTTTAGAAGACTGGAACAACGGCAAAGACGGCTAAGAGCGACTCCGCAAAGCGACCCAAGACCAAATCGCTCAAAAAAGTCACGGCCAAGTCAACAAAGACAACTAAAGCCCCCAAGAAGACCCAAGCTGCCTAAACCTTTCTGTTGCTGCCAATTATTGTTATTTTTTTCATTCTCATTCTCTTTTCGTAGCCCCCTAAAATTCTAACAATTATTTTTTGTTTCGTGCATCATTGCATGTTGTTGTTGTTCTTTGAGCCAAATGAGCTCCCTTTGCAAGTTTTTGGAAAAAAATTAACTTAATGCGGTAAAGTGAAAACTTTCGGCAATATCGTCGGTCTTTTGAGAAATGTAGAGCCAGAACTAGTACCAAAAACCAAGCGCAAGAAGTTGGTGGTGAAAACTAGCTTGAATGTTCCTGGAGAGTCAAATGAGTTGAACCTGAACATTATCAGTTTTGAGATAAGTGTTTTTAAACAGATAGAAACCTTTTCCTAAACAATGATAGTGATTACCCATCAATTTCTGTTCAAACTCACTGCTTCTCGCGTAGACCAAAAGTCAAATAGTTGAGCGCCACATGTCGATAGGGTTTGATGAAAAGAATGGAGAGGATCGGTGTCAACAATGGGACGATCGCGATTAGATACTCCGGCAAAAACTCTTGCCAGGCGCTTAAAATTAAAATCTCTTCAAAAAAATTAAAATTCTGTGGAGCCAGTCTTTTGTCTCACTGCAGTAGGTCTTAATTTGATTTAACAGCTCACAGGCTGTCCGTGTAGATGAAACAAAGAATCGAGTTGGCCAAAATCGGCACCGTGAAGGTTAACGGGATGAAAGCTTCGGCGAAAATCGCATGCACGAGCACCTCGTGCGACATGCGGGCTTGGAATGAGATTTGGCCCTGAAAGGCATGTTTTTAAAAATGAACCATGTTATTTTTACAGTAAAACAGATTTCCAATTATACGTGTGCATTTGTGTCCAAAGCTAAACACATCCTTTCTGGCGCAGTGAATTCTCCATTTTTTTCGCAGCAACGACTTGGTGTCGCAAGAAAAGTGTAAAGTGTGTGTTGAATGCACCAGAAAGGGTGCGATTACGTTTTTGAGCGCAAAGTACATCACTGACATATGGAGATTTGTTTGTAATAGTTTTCAAGTACTTTATCTCTCACCGATTTTCGCTGCAGAGCTTTGAGCATCAAATGGGCGCAGAGAAGGACGACGATGTAGGCCAAAAGATGACCGCCCAATGCGATCGCTGAATAATCCTTCATTGTGAAAGCTTTTAAATCTATGATACTGATCAATTTGAATAAAAGAATTACTTTTTAAAAGCTTTTAAATCTATGATACTATGGTACTAATCAGTGAAAGCTCCGAAGAGAAATGCCCCCCACCAAGGAAAAGCGTCACAATCGGATTTCGGCTGAAATCGTCGCCGAAAATGGTGACTCGTTTCTGAAATTGTGGGATTTTCAAGAATTTAATCAAATAAATAGGGAAATTTATTCAGAATTCAATAAATTAAATTTTAAACACTTTACCAAGAACTCATTTTCGATTTTTCAAAGCTAAGCGAGAGTGTTTAGAGTTTTCTTTTGCAATTTTCCAAGATTAAATCGATAAGATCTTTAAAAATGGCTTTAACTAATAAAGAGATCAACTTTTTTAAAATTAGAAGTTGAGATGAAATAATTTGTCTCAAGACTCAAAACTCGTGCCTGCAAACTCTTGACAGCCTCTTGCATGGCGATGTCGTTCACCGTTTGCATTTGACCGTTCACGCCCATCACAGCGCCGTTTTGAGACTGAATTTTTTCATATTTTGATCATGATTATCTTTGAGAACACTTTAGTGTTCAAAAGTCTAAATCCTACTTCAGAAAACCAATGCTGAGGCATACTTTTGTTCGTACGCGTAAACGCAGCCTATCTGGTACCGATGCACTCATTTCTTCATTCTTTTGCAGTGACGAGAGCAACGAAGAATTGAGTGCACCAGAAAGGGTGCGATTACATTGTACAGCGCAAGAACACAAGATTTTAATAGCGATATGTTTGAAAATGGTTTTAAAATTCTTGAGTTTCAATTTGAACCGCTTCAAATTTTGGTTTCTGATTTATGCAACTTTTACAAAAAAGCAAAAAAAGTCAAAGTTTTACCAAAGTCCAGGCTCGAACTGGGGTCAAAAAGTTGAGAGTTTAGCACAGTTTAGCACTTACCACTTGGCCACAATGAGATTTCTTTGAAGAACGCAAGATCCCTTGATACACGCGCCGTCAGATAATTACCGCAACACTTTAAAACTGCTTTGTTTTTACACACAAACTTCAAACGGATTTGAATCGAAAATTTGAACCAAAATTCACCGAATATTCGGAATCAGCGAAAAAAGCGAAAAATTTGTTTTAAAATAACCTACAAAACTCGTTGGTAAATAAACAACGATCTCTAGTTAGGGAAAAAAGAAAATAATTGTTGAATTGTTTGGCAAATGTCTTATCACCCTCTTACTCTTACAGCCGGATTCTGGGTGGTCGTGTAGAGGACTTGCAAATGGGTGACTGGTTGCTCTTTGAATTGATCCAAAGCGTTTGATGTGCGGTTGAGTTTTTCGAAAAGTGACTGAAAAGAGAAAACACTTTGAAAGCATGGAAATTAAGAATATTGAGAATTAATAAATTAGATTAGAATATTAGAATTTGAGAATGTTTTCAGGATTTCGGATTTCTGCTAAATTGGTAGAAATCTCAAGGTTTTTATCTTAAAAACATTGAAACTTCGATTTTTTTTCACTTATTTTTATTTATTTAGTCCATTTTTCATTCAATTCTTTTCTTTTTATAATAAAAAAACCTCATAATCGACATTTGCGAAGAAGAAAAACGATCCCTCCATGGCGGACATGAGGAAAATGACGACAAAGGTGAAAAGCATGTTTCGTTTATTGAAATAATGACCGTAGGCGACATTGTTCGTGAGGATAAACTGGAGAGATTGAAATTTAAGATCAAGCGTCGAGATCACTTTGAATGAGGCAAACAAAAAGCCTAATTTCTTTTGAAATCATTTCTTTTTTAGAGCAAAACAAGAATGATTGAATTTTTTAAATTCGATTTTTCTAATATTTTTCTAATAAAAATTTAAAAAAAATTGAATTTAATAAAAAAAAAGATAGCTTAATATAAACCAGCAATTAATATTAGGTTGATGCAAAAGTCTTTTTCATTTTTTTCGTACTTCTTTTGAAAAATAACAAAGTCATCAATTAACCTATGGTTTGCTCTAAATGAAAAGTGTTTATTGTTGAATTTCCCATCTTTTTAAGTCAATTTCGGTTCACTTTCAAGCAAATTCGAGAGTGAAAAACGGGTTTTTCATAAAAATCTATAAAAACCTCTATAAAGAAATTGGCTGAATCAATTTCTCTGAAAATCTGAAAAAATATCTAACTTTTTGTGCTCTATCTTTTATTTATTAACATCAAGATTGGTTTCCTTAGCTAAAGCGTCTAAAATGCATCATCGAGCCGTCGCCTTTTTTGACTACCCGGCTTCAGGCTCTCAAAAAAATCTAGACATAAGACATTTTAAACTCGTTTTAATGTCATTTTGCAGAAAAATAATTGGCCTTTCGAATGCAATAAACCGTTGTTCAATTGGTGCATTTGTTACTTTTTAACGGAAGTACGAAAAAAATGAAAAAGACTTTTGCATCAACCTAATACATTCTAATTTTACAAATCAATTTGTACTTGCGGGCAAGCTTTTACAAAGTACTTTAGTAGTACTTTAGATTGCACCAAGTCGAGTCTATCCAACTACCACAAAAATCACACAAACTACAACTACAACAATGTCAACTACTCCCCAATCAACCCCACCAATCACTCATCCAAAACTCCAACCCGTCGACATAAAAGAAGAGGTTTGAAAAAAAGATAGCTTAATATAAACCAGCAATTAATAGATTTGCATTTAAAATAAAACTTTGTGCATGATTTTACCAGGCGATAGACGAAGAAAATTGGAAACGAGAGCACACTGTACATGTGAGCCGTCACCGCGACGCTGGCGATCGCTTTCTGAAATCATTTTTCTCATCATTTTTCTTTTTGATTTCTTATTCTTCCCAATATATTTAATCGTTTTGTGGCGTTTGATAGCATTGTTTCTTCATTGATTAGTAAATAAAATCATTTACTCAAAGTGATAGGAAACGGGCAAAATCAAATCATCGACTACGACACACAAAAATGACGCTTACTTTGTGTCGACAGAGGATTATAGAAAACAAAAGAGTCAAAAAGAGGTTTCTGTATCTAACAAATTTCATAGAAAGCCATTTGAAAGTGTTTTCGAAAGTTAAATCGATTATTAACGAGGTCAAAAAGATTAGAGGGATTAGAGTATTGAGCTTCTGCAAAAGCTTGGAAACCGTAAAATAGTCACCAACTCGGCTCGCCGTGGTGCACTACTATTAGAGAAAATACGGTATTTATATCAAAACCAATAGCTAATCAAAGCTTCTCTAAAAATGTAACTGCTCAAGGCATTAAAACTTAAAAAACAAAAAAAACAAATACTCAGCTACTAGACTCGAACCTGATAACCCTCGCCTTGTTTCCTAACTTGCTACCACTCGGCCACCGCTGCAATGGCTTAGTTGGGAAGACAGGGTTGTAAGACGATTCGATTTTTGAAACTCGTACTTTAAACGCGTATAACTTTTGACAGAGTGCTTCGTAGCAAAAACGGAAAGCAGACTCGGAATCAGCGCAAAATTTTGCGTTGAATGGTCGAGGTGATTTGGCTACTACATCCAGTTGACCTTCCCTTGTTAGTTGTTTATATTAAGCTGTCCAGAAGTCTTTTCGTTTCTTTCTGGACTTTCTGAACAGCCTAATAAATCGAAATCCAAACTTTTTTATAGCTTTTTTTAGCCTTTTACAGTTTTTCTTACTGATTGTGAATTAAAAAACATTTTTCTTTGAAAACTGACCACAATAAAATCGGGCCAATGTTGGGCCAAACCGTGGGGAATTCGGATTGACATCGAGCCGCGAATCACATGAAATTTTTTGATAGAAATAAGAAGAAAATGGAAAAAAAATCGTCTTTCTTGATTAACTTTAACTTTCAAAAGGAAAAACCATTTGCGGTTGGATGAGAAAATTGCACACGGAGAAGACGATGGCCGCCACGGAGACATTCGACAAGAAATAACGCAATTCCTGAAGTGCAATTTGTTTAGTTTCAAATTTAGAGAATATTAAGCTAAACTTTGGGAAGTTAGTTTATGTTTTCATTAGCCTATAGCTCTTTTTGTTTCATTGGTTATCGAAATTTGATAAATTCTCGAACCTGCATTGCATCAATCGATTTGTTCGCCGACAAAACGAGCAGAAAAGCGTTGATGAGCACGGAGATGCCTGGAAAATAGAGGAAATTCCAAGCCGAATCTAATTCCACCTTTGTTTTCTCGGCTGATTGCTCTGCAAAATTTTGATTTCTATTTGTCGACAAAATTTCAGAGGAATCGGTCAAAAGAAAACGAAGGTGGAATTAGGTTCGGCTTGGACTAAACTAGAAGGTTTAACTTTCAGTTCCCAATAAACTAGAAGGTTTAACTTTCAGTTCCCAATAAACTAGAAGGTTTAAATTTCAACTCCTAACTCACCATGTCTACAAGAAAAGGGATTTCAAGAAAGGCAACTACAACTTTTGATATTGACAATTACGTAGACTTGAATTGGATCATTTTTCACATAAAACTCAGTTTTTGGTACTAAATCCAAGTTCTTTTTAGTATAAGACCAAACTAGAAGGTTTAAATTTCAACTCCCAATAAACTAGAAGGTTTAACTTTCAACTCCCAATGAACTAAAAGGTTTAACTTTCAATTTCCAATAAAATAGAAGGTTTAAATTTCAATTTCCAATGAACTAAAAGGTTTAACTTTCAGTTCCCAATAAACTAGGTTTAAATTTCAACTCCTAACTCACCTGAAGCGATACTTGCGTAGAGTTGAAAAATCGAGAGCATTGTTGCGGTAAGAAAGCTGAAAATTGAGCAATCAAAAAATCGCTATATTAATGAATACTATCTGAATTGAATATTTAATTAAACTAAATAATTCACTCAAAAGTTGAGATAAAACAATAGATGAATACATTTGATAGGCGACCACTTCTAGTGTTAGATTGCTGATGGGAAAAGGGGCGGGGCGCGTATAAAAGGTGCCCAACCGCCCCGCCCCGCCCCGCCCCTTTGCCATTGGCACTAGAAGTGCATTTCTGTTTGGTCTTAGGTGTAAACCGATTTGGACTAGAATTTGGGTTAGGCTAAAGAGAGTGGAACCTTTTGAGATCCTGTCATATCTAACGATTGTGGGATATTTGATGCGCGCCCCGCCCCTTTTGTCATTAGCAATCTAACTTTGAGCTCAAATATCTTGGTGTTGGGTTTTCCAATTTACATATTCTTGATATCATTAGATGCGGGAAATCTTTTTCTGTTGATTGTTACAAAAACTATTTCCTAGAAATTTAAGCTCAAATTTTGATTGCCAATGGCAAAAGGGGGCGGGGCGCGTCTCAAATGTCCCAAAAATCGATTTCTGTTGCTGAATTTAAAAAGCACTTATTTATGATAAACTACCGTAATCGATCATCGACTTTTCATTTGGTTATTTCAATTTCAATTTTTCAATGAAAGAATCAAAAGGTTCAGTCAATGATCGAAAGGAAAACTGGCAAGCAAATTATTGGGTTGTCCAGTTATGAATACGCGTTTTTTACTATTTTGTAAATTTCTCAAGATACTGGAATCAAGAAAAAGATATATATGAGTATCATTCGAAAGCTGAAGATCTCCTCTACATTTTGATATAAAAAGTTTTTGAATTTGTTCAGCTTTTGGGCAAATTGATGGCACAGAAGAAGAGGTGGCCAAAAAATGGAAATGTGCCTTTGGATCAAGTTTTGCCTCGGCTCAAATTGAGTTAACCGTTTGATGTTTGGCCAATAGATATATCAATACAATTTTTTTTAAATATAACAATTTCAGAGCATCTTTTCTTTTCTGGATGGTTATTTTACACCATAAAACTTGAGGAATAGCTAAGCTGAAATGAGTTTTTTTTTCCGAAACGACCTCTCCCTTTGTGCAGTCAATTTCCCAAAAAGTTGCATGAATTCAAAAACTTTTTTATTCCAAAATGTAGAGGAGATGTTCAGCTTTCGAATGATATATAACACTCATATAAATCTGTTCGATGTCTTGAGAAATTTACAAAATAGTAAAAAACGCGCATTCATAACTGGACAACCCAATAGTTAGGCCTAACTATTATTTTGACTTTTCGGCGCCGAATATGGAAAAAATTTCCTGGAAAAATAGAATTCCACAAAAACTCAATTCAGTATTCTGAAAGAGCGTGAAAAGAGCTATTGAATGACATATAACACTTTATGGTTCGATGAAATATGAAATTTCACTAACATCAAAGTCGCCGCCTTTAATTCTGAAATTTTGGATAGACGGTTTCGGATTATTTTATTTTTTCCGTTCATTTTTGGGCCTAACTTAAAATTTGTAGTGTTCGGATTTTTGATTTAAAGAAAAAAAAAATTTACACAGGGGTGTAATCGATGTGTTAGGTTGTCTAGTTTATCTAGATAAATTAACTAAGAGTTTATCTAAAATTTGCTGCATATAATTGCATTATGATTAGATTTTAAAAGAGCCAAAAACTCTCTAAAGAAATAAAGTTTTGAAAAAAAAGATCCATTTTGAACTAATTTAAAGCTAATAAGCATTTTGAACTAATTTGAACTATTTAACTTACAATTTAAAGCTTTTACTTTTACAATTCATCTTTGATTAAGATTAAGTTTAATTAAAATAAAACGAACGAACGAAAATTTCAAATTAAACTTTTTCAAATTAAACTTGAAACTTATTTTTTTCTGAAACTTAAAAAAATCGCATCGCTAAATGGAATCGATAAAAAGTCATTTTATCGATAGTAGTCCCTACTGTAACAAAAATGGATATATCTAAATAAACTAATAACGTTTTTCGGAAAAATGCAAAGATTCTGGGAAGACTTTGCCCGGGTTTTCCCCTGTGATCATCCCGGATTGAACGGATTTGTCGACAGCAGCTCATTACTCTCAATATTTTCATCATCAAATCAGAAATTTGCTGCTTTATAGTCAAAAAATTCTGCTATTTTATCTTTTGTTTTGCAAAAAGATACGAATTTTTTGAGACAAGGAAAATTGGATCGCGGGTACTGTTAAGGAGGGCTTTCAGTCCATTTCTTTGAGGAAATTGAAACTTAGTTGATAAAAATGAAGAAATGAAATAGAAACAAGCATTGATTACAAAGGGGATAACGGTCTTTTCTTCAAATTTCATAAGAATTTTATGTATCGATGCCAAATCTGAAAGTGAAAGGACAAGAATCCAATAAAATCGTTTCTTGAACCAAAAAATCGCACATTGGTTAGTGTTAAGAAGAGCTTTCAGTCCAGCGCTCGCAGCTTCAGTCCAGCGCTCGCAGCTTCAGTCCAGCGCTCGCAGCTTCAGTCCAGCGCTCGCAGCTTCAGTCCAGCGCTCGCAGCTTCAGTCCAGCGCTCGCAGCTTCAGTCCAGCGCTCGCAGCTTCAGTCCAGCTCTTGCAGCTTCAGTCCAGCTCTTGCAGCTTCAGTCCAGCGCTCGCAGCTTCAGTCCAGCTCTTGCAGCTTCAGTCCAGCGCTCGCAGCTTCAGTCCAGCGCTCGCAGCTTCAGTCCAGCGCTCGCAGCTTCAGTCCAGCGCTCGCAGCTTCAGTCCAGCGCTCGCAGCTTCAGTCCAGCGCTCGCAGCTTCAGTCCAGCGCTCGCAGCTTCAGTCCAGCGCTCGCAGCTTCAGTCCAGCGCTCGCAGCTTCAGTCCAGCGCTCGCAGCTTCAGTCCAGCGCTCGCAGCTTCAGTCCAGCGCTCGCAGCTTCAGTCCAGCGCTCGCAGCTTGTCCAGCGCCGCAGCTTCAGTCCAGCGTCGAGCTTCAGTCCAGCGCTCGCAGCTTCAGTCCAGCGCTCGCAGCTTCAGTCCAGCGCTCGCAGCTTCAGTCCAGCGCTCGCGCTTCAGTCCAGCGCTCGCAGCTTCAGTCCAGCGCTCGCAGCTTCAGTCCAGCGCTCGCAGCTTCAGTCCAGCGCTCGCAGCTTCAGTCCAGCGCTCGCAGCTTCAGTCCGGCGCCCAGCTTCAGTCCAGCGCTCGCAGCTTCAGTCCAGCGCTCGCAGCTTCAGTCCGGCGCTCGCAGCTTCAGTCCGGCGCTCAGCTTCAGTCCGGCGCTCGCAGCTTCAGTCCGGCGCTCGCAGCTTCAGTCCGGCGCTCGCAGCTTCAGTCCGGCGCTCGCAGCTTCAGTCCGGCGCTCGCAGCTTCAGTCCGGCGCTCGCAGCTTCAGTCCGGCGCTCGCAGCTTCAGTCCGGCGCTCGCGCTTAGTCCAGCGCTCGCAGCTTCAGTCCAGCGCTCGCGCTTCAGTCCAGCGCTCGCAGCTTCAGTCCAGCGCTGCAGCTTCAGTCCAGCGCTCGCAGCTTCAGTCCAGCGCTCGCAGCTTCAGTCCAGCGCTCGCAGCTTCAGTCCAGCGCTCGCAGCTTCAGTCCAGCGCTCGCAGCTTCAGTCCAGCGCTCGCAGCTTCAGTCCAGCGCTCGCAGCTTCAGTCCAGCGCTCGCAGCTTCAGTCCAGCGCTCGCAGCTTCAGTCCAGCGCTCGCAGCTTCAGTCCAGCGCTCGCAGCTTCAGTCCAGCTCTTGCAGCTTCAGTCCAGCTCTTGCAGCTTCAGTCCAGCGCTTGCAGCTTCAGTCCAGCGCTCGCAGCTTCAGTCCAGCGCTTGCAGCTTCAGTCCAGCAGCTCTAATTTCATCAAAATTAAATTTAAATTAAATAAAAAAATAAAAGATAAAAATTCTTTGAAACTCACCAAAAATCGCTAGTACCGTTTTGAAACCAGCTTTTTTCAGTTAACTTTACTTGAACACCAATTCACAATAACTAAAAAAGTTTAGTACCTCAAAATAAGGGAAAAGATTTCATTTAACTTTGATTCAAACTAGCTTCAGCCATTAGCTAATCTCAATTTCCGACCTCGCTTCTTGAAAGCTTTGAAACTCGCGAATTTTACGAGCTCATCTTTTTGTTCGCCTCAAAAATGATGTGAATTTCGGCGATTCCGCATCACTTTTTGGTTCAAAGAAGAGAAAGGAAATTGCGGGGGTTTTTTTGAGGAAAGAAATTTGAGTTGATGACTTGTACTTTATGAATTACAGTACTTGTGATAAGAACAAAAGAAGAACGGGAAAAGGGTTCAGACTGGGAAAAGATAGTCTACTTTTGTTTGTTTTCATGAGATTCTTTAAATTAAAACTTAAAATTAGATGAAAAATTCATTCATTACCATGGATATCCCTTGTCAAGCGGAAATGTAAAGTGATTAATTAAAATTAAAGTGATTAAAGTTCAACTTTTGGTTTCTTTCCATTGAAACAAATTATTTATGAAGCTTCAGTCATCCGACTGAAGCTTCATTTTTAAAACCAATACAAATAATTTGTTTCAATGGAAAGAAAGCAAAAGTTGAACTTTAAATCACTTTACATTTCCGCTTGACAAGAGATATTCAAATTTTTTTTTAATCTTTTCTTTTTCCTGAATGATCACTTTTTTTTTGTACATATGTACATACTTTTTGTACATGCTTAAAATAAGTCACCAATTGATCTACAGCTTGCTCTAAATAGAAATTCGCATTTACTTTAATATTATTGAAGTCTTTGAAAAGCTAGGCTCTTTTCAAATTTCTAACTAGAGACAAAGCATTTTAGTAATATTTCAATAATCTTTTGTAGCAAAAAACAATTGACCATTATAATAAAGTAAACCGTAAATAGATGAATACCGTATTTCTTCGGTTCTTCGAATAGAAGACCGGGTAAAGAGTACCATCGCTTACTCCTGCGTAGCAGCCCTTTTTAAAATTTCTTTTCTGCATAAAAGCTTTCAATGAAGTG